ATGTATATAATTTGTAATGATAGTCACAATGAGCATATGAGCGAAATTATAAAAAGTTGGCTATGGTTGCGTGAGGGGTGGGTGTAACAGCAGTAACAATCGACCTCTGACATTTAAATCATTATTCATTGTCAATTACAATTTATAGTAGATATCATTATCTTTTATAATATGTATGTATGTTTTTCTATAATCACCAATGGCTCAACTTGATGAAAAACAATTCATTAGTATTAATTTATTAAATAAATATCATATTTTACTTTCATTTATTCATTCGCATACTACATATGACAAACTAGGTGGCTGTATATTTTTCGTATTACTTTTAAGTTTAAATCTTTTAAAAACATTCGAATATTCACGTTTTATTAGATTTAAATAATCAATAATGTGATAAAATATATGATATTATCGTTCATAAATTCAATAACGTAAAGTTTAAAAATAAATAACTCAATATACCTTATATTATTTAATAGGTACAAAGAAATAATTATAAACAGGTAACTGCACTTTTTGACATAAGTATAGTTTTAAAATTTTTTGAATTTACATTGTTTTTTTTATTTTATTAAAATTAAATTTTCTTTTTTGTTGTAATTCAAAAGTGAAAACCTTTAACAAATAGTTACTCGAAATCCTCACTGACTATTTATACTAGCATTTCCTAATAAATTATGGTTTAATTTTCATTTATAAAGTTTGATTTTTTTTAAACTATTTATAGACATAATATTATATTTTTGACTTTTTTTATTAATATCCATAACATATTTTTCATTAAGTCAAAAAGTTTGAACATTTATTACAAAGTTCCTTATTAATAGCTCATATTATTGAACTAATTTTTTTTTTTTAAATACGTAAATTAAATTTTTTTATTTTGTATAGTTATTTGCAGTTTTTTAAAAATATTTTAAATATATGTACATCATAATAATGAATTCCTTACCTAACATAGAATAATTTGTGAAAAATGATAAGTAAAAAAAGTAAATTAGGTATTATATCCTGTACTTATAATTACCAAGGAAATATTTACATAGAAATAATTGATATATAATTGTTAATTAATATATTAAAAGAACATTTTTAAATACCAAATAATTTAGTTCTATTTAGTTCATAGCATACAACTTTCGGATCCACTTTATTACTTTTTACGAATAATTATAGTTAATTATAAAAATACATTAAATATTTTTGGCAATATTTAAAGGTAACAGCTCAATCTTGTAAACCCTTTATTATTCTTCCAATTAATATTTGAATATTTAAAATAATTGAAATTTATTTATTTTTATGTTTATATTATAATATGTTTATTTAATACTTTCACTACAGGGAGAATATTATTTCGTATTTGGTAAAATATATCCATGCGAGACGACAAATTTAATTCAATTTAATATGTGTGCTAGTAAAAAGACATCAAATATAACTGAAATGAAATGAAATTTCACATTCTTATTACCTTTTAGACGATACTCTTACTGTAAGTATATATTGAATAAAATTAGTGACATAATAGTATGCCCTGATAAGAAATAGTTTTGATTTTTGATCTCGCATATTTGCTAGGGCATAGATTTCAACTTTTTAAATAAAGTGAAAAACATTTTTTTGGAAATAATGTATTATGTTTTTATAGCTTGATAATAATACTGCATCATGGGATTCAATTGGCGGATGGAAACCAAATTCAATGGTTTACATAACCAATAATTCATGTAGTAGTTTGAAAAAAGTGTTAGGGAAAACATGGTATTTATTGGCTAATGGTTTTAATGCTTCCAAAAGTAGCTGTCCAATCCCATTGGTTATGTATAAAAACAATTAATTTTTAAATTAACTGTAAATTAAAAAAATTCGATGATATTAAAATCAGTGAATTCAAATTAATAATAAGTACTATCTTACAATATTTTCAATGATTTGGCGATAAGGAGATTGAGAGACATGAGACAACGAAGTTGGATTGTTGTTTATTAAGGTTAGTGTGTACCACTTCATATAGTTGGTAGTTGTATTGGATGCATTAATTTATAATCACTAAAAAAAAAAAATTACTTAAATTTTTATACCACATACGTTTATGGGATATACTCAATAGTATAACTACTCTGACTTATCTAAATAACAAAAATTATTTAAAATGTGTAATCTGTATATTATGTTTTAACAATATTTAGTTCAAATTTAATAATAGTGTAAGCTTCGATGGTAAATGTACACATGAGTATTAAGTATCTAAACATTTATTCATTTTAATTTTTTTAATTTTAAATTAGAATGAGTTTCAGTTTATTCATTTTAAAGAATTTTTTTTTTTTTAAATGTAAGTACTCCAATAATTTAATGACTTCTTGAAATTACAATTCATTAGTTCATTAAATCATAGTTAAACTGTGTGTGAGTTTTCATAAATTTTGTAAAAGTTATAATTAAGGAACGGATTTATATGGAATGGGTAATCGAACGTTTTACATCAACTATTCTAATTAAAGCATATTTGAAGTACATAATATTTGAAAACGATAATTACAAACTTTTTGAAGGGTGTCTCTCAAATATTATTTTATTGATTATTTTCAAATCAATAAAGAATGGATTTTTTTCTGGAACATCCTGAAATTTTTTTTTCTACTTCCCCGGTTCGAGAAAATCCCACGTATAATAGTCCATATGAAAAACACTCTGAATGAAGATCTACTTAAACATACCTCGAGCTATGTTTATAGTGTTCGCAAAAGAAATATTAAAACTATTTTATTAATATGTAGTTTATCATTTTTGCAATTTATTTACGTTATAGTACGTAAACGATTATCACTGTAATGACGAATAAAATGAAATTGTGAATAAAAGATCACTCGTAAGAATATTCGGTATAACATTGCGAAAAAAATTGGAAAAGTTTTAAATACCTAACCATCGCTATCTAATAAAAAATAAATACACAAAAAATTATTATTTATGTTTAAAATTATTTGTTATGATATCAATAACAATTGAAAATTGAAATAGGTATATTTTTAGTTTCATGTGATAGAAAATACGAGTGCGTGTATTAGTGTGGTTGAAAGATTTTTTAATTAAAAAGAAATATACAGGTATATTATATATAATAGATTTGCAAATGTTAACTGAATGACACAAATTTAATTACACATTATCAATAATAACATTGATTCTATAATTATTTGAATGCTTATTAGTTATTAGAAATATCAATATAAGGTTGATATTTTTATTATAATCTTGTGTTCTGTAATTTCAAAATTATAAATGAAAGATGTGTTGCACCTATTTCGTAATATAAATTCCGATGTAAATTCTCATATCCAGAAAAAAAATCTCTAAAAAATTATGGACTCAATTTTTTTTTTAACTATACAGCAACATTGTTTTCTTTTAATTGTTCATAAATCGTATGTATTATAATATTGTTATGTTATATTTTATTTTTGGAGGTTAATATTCACATTTCGAGGCTACAAATCAAATTTTTATAGCTGCTCATGCATGTCAATCTACCAAACAGACCATGTCAATATAATTTCAAATAATATTATGATATTATAAGAATATTGCATTTATTAAAACTAGGGATTCAAAACATTTTTAAGAATATAACAAAATCTAATGGAAAAAAAAAAAATTAAAAAAACTTTAATCAAGTAAGTAAGTTATCACATAAAATGTTACCAGATATCAATTTTTTTTTCTCACAGATCATGACATAAATACTTATAACAGTTATCACTGTGTTATCAAATATTTTATTAATATTTTTTTATCACAAATAATATTATTATCAAAGCGTACATTTAAACTACTTGTTCAATAAAAATAATATTCTGTTTTACAATCGAACCAGATCCCACTTAGAATCTAACCCATTAAAATATGTACATAATTCTAAATTACATGACAACACACGACAAACGTGCATAAAACCCGAAAATGTCACTGAAAATGCAATTAACTAACACCCGTTTTTCGGTATAAATTGAATGTTTTTGTGATATATGGTTAGGTTAAAAGAAAAGAATCTTTTTATTTTTACAAAAGTGTTTCATCTCTCATAGTTACTGTCATATTATTAACAGGCTCAATGTGGCGTTGCTTGTGCTGCTATACATATTACATAATACATGGTGTACCGGTAAGGATTTCTTTCGCCATTAGGACGTACATGCAGAACATGAACGTCTCATATGGTCTGCAGGTATGCTTTATTGGACGCTCATATTTTACAATTAAAGTATGAAAACCGAAAAAGTCCAAATTTATTAAATCGACTTTAATGAAAGCTACCGGTAAGTGTCAGAATTTCAGTTTTTTGCTGATTCATTTTGGTGAGTTCTAATACATACTAATTAATTCGGTCAGATTTATTGTAGTTCTGCAGGCTTTTACAAACGTAATATTGTGCATTTCAAGATAAGCCATTTCCTATGGTAAAAATCTAAAGTACTAAAGTATAGCAAGTATAAACACTATGCTTTAATGTTACGAAAAATTTAATAAAAAAAAATTGATTTATGCAGCTATTGATATTTGACGGTAGTCAACTATTCTGTAATAAATAATATTTTTGATAACTAAAAAATGAAGTTGAAAGCTAATGAAGAATTTAAGCAAATCTTTAAACGTATCATCATTATAGTGTTTATTTAAATAATATTATTTTCATGATTTTTTTCAAATCATTTATATTGTTTGTTTGCATTTTTTTGCTCTTTAATAATAAAACCACTACTCAATAATTATTTGCTTATAGGTTATTTATTATTCTGGGGACTCCGCGTCTATCCCTATATTATTAAAAATTGATGTTAGATGTCTAATATGAATCCAAATCCATTTAATATATTATGATAAATATTAACTTATCTATGATATCAGAAAATGATCACAATATTAAAATACTAATGGACATTATAATTTTATCATAACAATGACATAACATATTATTATTTTGTAAAATTGAATTAAATCGGTTTTTCCCACGGTCTTAAAACACTCAATTCGGCGATAGCACAACCAACTACTTTTTCATTTATTGTTTTTATCTTGGTAGTTATTTTATATTTTCCGTAAAAAAAAACCTTGGGAAAATTATTATCTTCAAATTTCTGCATATCAAAACCAGTAATTGTATATGTTCCCTGAAACATTCAAAAATATTTTATAACTATATTTTTATTACAACAAGATATTTAAAACTTGATAAGAAATATTTAAGATTTCTATCACTCCTATTAAAATGACCCCAACATTTGTTTACATAATTTCACATTCTTCAGTTATTTTTAAATATTTTATCATTTCATCATTCATACGTTTTCAAAACATGTTGCAGTACTTAAGCAAAAACAGCTATTTTTCAGAATATTTTCAAGATATTTACTTTTAATTACAAACAAACTATAATAATTAAATGATTGTAAGCAATTGTTGAATCTGCGATAGATAAATGTGTAGACAAAACAAATTCAAGTTGTTACAGGAAAAAATCCAGTATATAATGATTTGAAAAAAATCGATGAAATAATAATTGACAGATATTCTCTAAAAATTTGTAATTATCGGATTCATATATAACACGCTTCAAATATGCTTTAATTACAACGGTTGATGTAGAACATTCGATTAGCTGTTCTGTATAAATCTGTTCTGTAATTATAACTACTACATAATCGATGAAAGCACACATACGTATTTAATTTAATTTTGTAAACTAATGAGTTGTAATTTCATCAAAATTGTTAAGCTATTGGAGTAATTAAATTTTGAAAAAAATTACTTTAAAATTAATTTTATTAAACTCATACACAATTTTAATTTTACAAAATTAATATAAATTTATAAATGTATAGGTATAGATATGTACTCAATTCTTATGTATACACTTACCACATACAACATAGCGTACAGATTTCATGTTATAAATGCATATTAATATTTCTTTCTTCTCTATATTTTTTATGATTTATATAATCTAAGATAATTTTACTGTTTGATATATTGTATTAATGTATTTAGTATTAAAAGTGAAGTTTATATTTTATTAGCAACCAAATTAACAAACTTTAATTGTACATTAATGCAATTAGTTAAAACTTTAAATAAAAATTGGTGCTGTCTTACATTGTACAACACAAAACTGTTCTTTGGGTTCTTCAATTTTTTCAATCCATTTTTTTCTCTATAGTCTTTGTGAATACTTATTGAGAAATCATTGAAAATATTGTATTATAATACTTGTGTTAGTATTAATTTACTGATTACTATTTCATCAAATTTGTTTAATTTATAGTTTTTATACAAAATTAATATTTTATACGTTACCGGTAGAATAGGACAGCTAATTTTATGAATTTTTAAAGTATTTAGCAATAAAGACCATGAATTTCCTAAGAGGTGTTTAAAAGAACTACATGCATTGTTTTTTATGTAAACCATTGCATTTGGTTTCCAACCTCCAATAGAACTCCATGAAGCCATGTTAAAATCAAACTAAAAAAAGCACAAATCATTATTTTAGGTATTATTCAATTAATTTATTTAGGTAAAACTCAAGTAAAAATTGAATGGTTTTTAACATCAGTCATTAAGTCAAAAACTGAAACTTAGCAAATATGTGAAATCAAAATCTATTAAAATTTTTATCAGGGCTTAAAAACTCTAATTACAACTTAATAATTTTATTAAAATTTAATAAAGTTTTTTAAATTTAATTCTACTTATAAATTATATAATCGATTGCTGAGTTCGTAAAAATACATTTTTCACTTAAACTCGAACTAAAAGCTAATCAAGTACCTAGATAAATAATCAACTGCAATATCACTTATTTAATTCAATATTTACTTACTCTATAAGTATCATCAAAAGGTGATAATGCTGTTAAATTTCCTTTCATTTCAGTTATGTTTGATGCCTTTTTATTAGTATATATATTAAATTGAAATAAATTTGTTGAATTGCAAGAATACACTTTCTCAAATACTATACGATATTCTCCCTACATTAAGAGTTATAAATGCACATCAATAAAATAAAAATAAATTATAATTCATAATCGTGTTCATAGAAAATATAGAATATATTTTATTAAACAATCTGATTATGTACTCACCACTGGTAAGTTGGGCATAAAGTTGGTAATTGAATTAGATAAAGAAAAAAATTTAATAAGAACAAACACTTTCATAGTTACCATTTTGTTTTATGATACCTACGTCTTTTATACAGTGAAATAGTACATTGAGTTACAAAAAAAAATTAAAATGAGTTAAAATGTTTAACTATACAAATATTAATTGTAGGAATGATAAAGGATTGACAAGCTTGAACTGTTACATCTAAATATTACCGGAAATATCTAATTTATTCAAATATATAATTAAAATTATTCATAAAAGTAATTAAGTAGATCCGAAAATGGTACATTTGCAAATGTTAACTGAATGCAACTAAATTGTTTGGTATTTATACATTTTTATTTTAATACAATATTTCTATAGAAATTATTTCGATGTAAATATTTCCTGGATAATTATACGTACACAATACGTACAGATAATATGTTTTTTTTACTTATTATTTATTTTCAAATTTTACCTAAAATTATAGTATATTATTTTAATGAATGTATTAAAATTTAACATACCTTTAATAGTGACATAATCGATACCTTATTTAAAGTATTGTGGTATTTACCTAACTACTTTGATCAAAGTATTTTATTATTTTTTCATTGGATTTAATAATATTCTTGAAAATGTTTTGAATTTTTATAAATGCAATATTTTTACAATATCTGAATATTTTTTGGAATTACATGAGCATTGTGTGTTTGATAGAATGGTGTATGAACTATATACATTTGATATTATAAATACTGTTGTTTCAATTTATACTGATATTGCAATAATAATTTAATAATATTTTTTAAATCTAACTATTCTAACCTACATAATTTTATATTATTTGTAATAAATATATATTCTACAATATAACGATTTTGAATTACAATATTAGAAGGTCAAAATTAATCCTTAAACATTAAAATCTACAATGAAGTAATTTAACACGGGTTAGATTCAACGATATTTTAATAAACATTAATTATCAACTCAAATAATATTTAATCAATATAATTATTAGAAATTTTATATTATGACCTTAATCTTTAATTATATTGCAGTTACCAACAACTGACGGGAATATGATATTGTTGAGTAAGGTAAAATAATCGATATATTTTACAATTAAATATCTGTTACCTACACAACCGGATGATTCGTATTTCTTGAATCATATAACGAGTATGGTTTTCAATATACGTCGCATCAGTAGACTTTCGTATAAACAGAAAGAATAAAAACCATATATCCCAAAAACATTCAATTTATACGGAAAAATTGATGTTAGTTAATGACATTTTCAGTGACATTTTTGAGTTTTATGCACGTGTAATGTCATGAATTTTAGAATTAATTTTGTGTCATTTTGTTAATATTTGCAAATCCATTATACTTATACCTGTATATTTCTTTTTAATTACTAAATCTTTAAATCGCATTCATACACGCACTTGTTATTATCTTTAAAAGATGGAAATGTTCGGAATCGCCATGATAAAAACCATACAAATATGATGAAATCTGAAAAAATAAAAATAACATAAATAAAATTTATTAAAGCTATATTTTATAATTATAAAAAAATCAAATAATCTATTTCATCCATATTTTATCAATGTTATTCTTTTATAAAATTGTTTCATATAAGATAAGTCAAATGACATTTATTTTTTTTATAATATATGTAGTACATTTTTAAAATGATATAAAACAAATAATACAATTATTATTATTATTTTTATACTATTTATGTAAAATAACTAATATGTAAAATACACAATAGTAGGTAATTTTAGTTATAACTTATAACTTACAAGTAATGTCATTGCATAATATTATTATACAGCATTTTTTTTTTTTTTTATAAGCAATTCAAAAATTGTAATATAAAATTATTGTGGTTTTCAATTATTGTTCTGTGGTACACATGTATACCCCAAAATAGCTGTAAATAATCTACTACATCAATGGTACAAGCTTATATTATATCATTACTCATTAGTATTAAAAAAAAAAAGAATTTCCCAGTACTAAATGTTCGTTGTTAATACAAAATATGTTACATTTGCTTGAAAAAAAAATTGTTCCGCGATAAAAGAATATTGCTTGTGTATCACAAAAACAATATTCTTTTATCGCGGAACGTGCCGTTTTTAAAAAAAGGTTGAAAACCGATATATTAAAACTTATATCTGTAAGTAAGAAACTTGAGGTACACCACCATTAATTTATTTAAAGCGTTTCTATAAACCTATGCTGCTTGAGTATATAAACAAAAGTAACATTTTAACCTATAAAAAAAACTTAACAAATACAATAAAAAGATAATTTGTAAAAAAGTCATATTTTATAATACCAAGTTTTAGAAACACTGTATTTAAGAAAATAAAACTTTTAGAATTTTTAGATAAATATTTATGAATAATTTATTTAAAATTAACGATTCAATTGTCGCTTCAGTTCTATGCTGTTATTTTTGAATTTTGGAGATAAATGAACGTATATCAGGATGTGAATAATAAATTATGTATTTTGTTATACCAACTTTCTGCTAAATTAGATGTTTATGGTATTTCGTTGACATTTCGACTGTGTACTGACCACATTTTAGTAGGAAAATATGGATCGTAACGCGTTGCTTCTTTTTTTCTAAACCTTTTTTTAGTTTACTAAACTTTAATAAACGTCGTTTTTTCAAAATATGTAACTAGATCAATTTCATTGTCCTCAATCCTCAAATTCTAATTTAAAAATACTTCACTTTCTCAGAGGGCAAAGATGCCAAACTTGCGATTTTACGGGCACGAAAATTGAACCCGAGCACATTTTGGTATTTTGTAACCAAATTTAACACTTGAAATCTACGATATATCGACTGTTCTAAATGAAAAAACATGTTGAATGAATTGCAAACGGAAATAAGTTATTGATTGTATAAATCGCTGCCTGTTTGAAATCTGTTATTATTTTCTTTATAAAAATTTCACTTACTTTAGCAAATTTATTTAGATTAGGAAATAAAATACTATATAAATTTTCATCTTTGCCAGTAATTAATGCAGATACTAATGGAAATACCATTTCGTTTCCATCTCTCGAAATTGAACCATGCACAACATAAAATTGTTTAAAAAGCTTAGGACATGATTTAAAAGTTCCGTCTAAAGTCTAAAATTGTGAATTCTTTAAATAATTACAATTTCTATAACAGTTGTGAAAATCATGATATAATCATCATTTCGTTTAACAGTTTTATTTAAACTTTTATTTCATTTCACTCAATGTTTCAACAGATAAATCATCAAGATAAGAAATGTGGTTGGTTTTTTGATAATTGTTTTTCTTTGCCTTTTTACAATTGATTTAGCCGAGCATTTTGAAGTTTGAGAAGCTATAACATTTTCCAATTGTGAAATTGAATCTTGGAATATGGAACTTGTTGTATTCTTAGTCTCAGCAGCCTTTCTTTTTATGAAATTTTTAATTTTTTTACATTCAATTATCTGCGGAATTGGGCCATGACATTGGTCGGAAATACTAAATGGCTTACCTTTATCATCGAATAGGTATGTGTGTATTAGCAATCGTAGTAGTTCGTAACTTAGCTGCATAGTCACGGTATTTCCAATACTAAACTATTTTACCATTAATTTTATGATCATAAATTTTATTGAAAACATATTAAAACCCATTTACATTTAACATATCATGTTTTTGATAAATTATTTATAGTTATTTTATGTAATTGTAACACCACGTAGGTATTTAGTACGATGTACGGTACTGGACTAAGGTGAATTGCTTTTTGATATTTCTCGTATTCGATCAGATATAAAATAATCATATATTATATCAATATAGAACTCTATCATAATTCTACGATAATAGTAGGCAATATCAATAAAATAAAAACTTGATAACGATTTTTGAGTAACAAAGCATTATATTTATAAATATAAAATACATAATATGTTTCCTGTCTTCCCGATCCAACAAAACTAATTTAAGATTTAGAAGTTTACCATAATTTTTTAAAAGTTTCATATTCTAATATATAGATTTTCTAAATCTATTCAATCTAAAACTCAGCATTCTAAAACTTCACTTTCGAAAACATGCATCCAAAACCATTTAATATATTATGATAAATATTAAATTATATATGATATTAGACAATGATCACAATATTAAAATACTATTATATTATAATTTTATTATAACAATGAAATATCATATTATAATTTTATAAAATTGAATTAAATCGGTTTTTCCCATGGTCTTAAAAAACTCAATTCAATTATACCGCAACCAACTACTTTTTTATTTATTGTTTTTATCTTAATAGTTGCCTTATACTTTCCGTAAAAAAACAGCTTTGGAAAATTATTGTCTTCAATTTTTTGCATGTCAATACCTGTAGTTGTATATTTTCCCTGAAACATTCAAAATTATTTTATTGCTAGGGAAAGGAATTTCAAGTAAATGCATGTTTTTATTACAACAAGATATTTAAAACTTGATAAGAAATGTTCATGATTTCTATTACTCTTATTAAAATGACCCCAACTTTTGTTTACATAATTTCACATTCTTCAGTAATTTGTAAATATTTTATCATTTCATCATTAATACATATTCAAAACATGTTGCAATAGGTAAGCAAAAACAGCAATTTATCAGTATATTTTCAAGATTTATACTTCTAATTACAAACAAATTATAATAATTAAATGATTATAAGTAATTGTTGAATAAGCAATAGAAAAATGTGTAGACAAAACAAATTCAAGTTGTTACAGAAAAAAATCCTATCTATATTGATTTGAAAAAATTTGATGAATTAATAATTGACAGACATTCTCTAATAATTTGAAATTATTGTTTTCATATATAACACGCTTCAAATAAGCTTTAATTACAACGGTTGATATAAAACGTTCGATTAGCTGTTCTATATAAATCTGTTCTGTAATTATAACTAATACATAATCGATGAAAGCACACATAGGTATTTAATTTATTTTGTGAATTAATGAGTTGTAATTTCATCAAAATTGTTAAATTTTTGGAGTATTTAAATTTTGAAAAAAATTAATTTAAAATTAATTTTATTCAACTCATACACATTTAAAATTTTAAAAAATTGATATAAATTTAAAAATGTATAGGTATTATACACAATACTATGTACTCAATTCTTATGTATACACTTACCACTTACAACATAGCGTACAGATTTCACGTTAAAAATGCATATTAATGTTTCATTCTTCTCTATTTTTTTTGTGACTTAAATAATCTAAGATAATTTTTACTATTTGATATATTGTATGAATGTATGTAGTATAAAAAGTGAAGTTTATATTTTATTACCAACCAAATTAACAAACTTAAATTATGCATTGTGGCATTTAGTTCAAAGGTAAAATAAAAAAAGTAGTGCTCTCTTACATTTTACAACACAAAACTGTTCTTTGGGTTATTCAATTTTCTTCAATCCTTTTTTTTCTCTATAGTCTTTTTGAATACTTAACGAGAAATCATTGAAAATATTGTATTATAATACTTGTGATAGAATTAATTTATTAATTACTACTTCAGCAAATTTGTTTAATTTATAGTTTTAATACAAAATTGATTTTTTAAACGTTACCGGTGGAAGAGGACAGCTAGTTGTGGGAACTTTAAAAGAATCCATCAATAAATACCATGCATTTCCTAAGAGGTTTTTCCCAGCACTACATGCTTTGTTATTTATGTAAACCACTGCATTTGGTTTCCAACCTCCAATAGAACTCCACGATGCCATGTTAAATTCAAGCTAAAAATCACACAAATCATTATTTTAGGTATTATTCAATTAATTTATTTAAAACTCTAGTAAAAACTAAATGTTTTTTAATATCAGTAATTAAGTCAATGGCTGAACCTTAGCAAATATATGAAATCAAGCATAAAAACTCTAATTACAAATTAATAATTTTATTAAAATTTAATAATGTTTTATATACCTATTTAACTCTACTCAATAATTATATAATCGTTTGCTGGGTTCGTAAAAATACATTTTTCACTTAAACTCGGACTAAAAGCTAATCAAGTACCTAGATAAATATTCAACTTTTATATCACTTATTTAATTTAATATTTACTTACTATATATGTATCATCCAAAAGTGATAATGATGTTATATTTCCTTTCATTTCAGTTATGTTTGATGCCTTTTTATTAGTATATATATTAAATTGAAATAAATTTGTTGAATTGCAAGAATACATTTTCTCGAATACTATATGATATTTTCCCTACATTAAGAGTCATAAATGCACATCAATAAAATAAAAATAAATTATAATTCATAATCGTAATCATAGAAAATTTAGAATTTATTTTATTAAACAATCTGATTATGGACTCACCACTGGTAGGTTGGGCATAAAGTTGGTAATTGAATATGACAAAGAAAAAAATGTAATAAGAACAAACACTTTCATAGTTACCATTTTGTTTTATGATACCTACGTCTTTTATACAGTGAAATAGTACGTTGAGTTACAAAATAAAATTAAAATGAGTTAAAATGTTTAACTATACAAATGTTAATAGTAAGAATGATAAAGGATTGACAAGCTTGAACTGTAACATCTAAATAATACCGGAAATATCTAATTTATACAAATATATAATTAAAATTATTCATAAAAGTAATTAAGTAGATCCGGAATTGGTACATTTGCAAATTTTAACTGAATGGCACTAAATTGTTTGGTATTTTTACATTTTTATTTTAATACAATATTTCTATAGAATATATTTCGATGTAAATATTTCGTGGATAATTATACGTACACGATACGTACAGATAATATGTTTTTTTTTACTTATTATTTATTTTCATATTTTACTAAAAATTAAAGTATATTATTATACTAATGAATACATTAATTGTATTTAAATTTAACATACCTTAAATAGTGACTCAATCGATACCTTATTTAAAGCATTGTTGTATCTAATTACCTACTTTGATTAAAGATTTTTTATAATTCTTTCATTGGATTTATTAATATTCTTGAAAATGTTTTGAATTTTTATAAATGCAATATTTTTACAATATCTGAATATTATTTTGAATTACATGAGCATTGTCCATTTTCATTTCTTCTACATTAATCGATGATGATTTTGTTTTAATATATTACTGACCTATACAATGACCGAGCATTTCAAATTGGCTTTGAAAAGTTGGTTGTATGATCGTCTTGAAAATTGACCATTCTAAATATTGCACGTTTATTATATCAGTGTGATCTAACAATACTCGTTACTCATTTTGTTTTTTGGACTCATTGAAAAGTATATTTTCCCCTTTATAAACCATGCTAGTCAATGAAATAATTTCTGGAAACAGAAATTGATTTCGTTTGTTATTTTAAGGTAGGTCGAGTATAAATGACAGAATGTTCTACATAAGTGAAAATATATGTTGTAAAATATCTACTCTTAGATTTATATATCGTGACGGTGTAATTATTTAAATAATGGTTCTGATTTCATCTGTAGGATCAAGCCCTCAATTCAAAAATTTACGGTCAAAAAAATTAGCATGTAGTTGGACGAATCGGTGAGTTTTGCAGGTGGTGTCGGTGCACATATTTTAAAATCTTCTTGTACATCGATGCATTAATTTAAATTGAACCAGTTATATAAAATACTTATATTTAAAATATAAACGATGAAAAAATGATAAGAACTTAGAGAAACACAAAGCGTCGGAGAGATGTACGTGCGGCTAGGTTAGATTGAAAATAGACTAAACGACGAGTGGACGGACGTGGGGGTGTTTAGAAAAGACTAATTAACCTAACCGCATGTATCGCATTTGCAGTAAATCTTGTTAGCCGCTATTTAGAAAAGTCTATCACAATTTCGTTTAATAACCCTAACTTTTTAAAAGTTATTGTTTAAATTGCATGTATATGAACATTAAAATTAAGATTAAATTGTAGAAAAATAATTCTAATAAACTAATTATACTTGTATATAATTTCATTACTAAAAAAATCACTTAAGAGGCCATGGTTGCAAGACAGAAAATTATATAATCGTATTTGTTGAAGTTTGAATAAAAAACATTTCCGATACCCCGTTCAATAAAAATGTTAAGGTAATATTGGAGGTGTGTTAAGTGCTTGTGATATTTTATAACCACAAACAGTTTAATATCTTAACATCTCAAATAATAGATGTTTACAATAGCGAAAAACTAAAACTATTTAATTTATAAAAATAAGAATAGAGTTGCTTAATCCTTTCTTAATTTGCATCGTTATAGATGATTTAATCGCTATGGATGATAATGTCTACTATTATTATTTATTCTGACTAGTTATATTCTATTTTTAATTTTTTTAAGTGACATAAGTATTGTTTTAGTATTGAAATGTTTCTAGTAGTATTAATAAATATATTTTTATTAAAAATCAATACAGATATAAAAGAAATGCTACTTAGCAAGTGTTGATCAAGAATTTTATAAGACTTCTGAGTATATGTAGTATAACGGTTTTTGTTCTATCATCTGTTGAAATAAAAATCGTTAGATGATTTGAGTCTCCAGTTTGAGAAAACCCCACGTCTAATTGTCCATATGAAAAGCACTTTGAACAAAGATTTACGTCAACATACATAAATATTTATCCTCGAGATTTGTTAATAGTGTTTTCAAAAGAAATATAAAAACTATTATTGGAAAAATGTTAAATACCTAACCAACGCAATCTAATAGAAAATGAATACACAATAAATCATAATATAATATAATAAATAATAAAATAAAATAAATAATAAATATAATAATAATCATAATTATATTATAATATAATAAATCATTATATATGTTTTAAAATTATTTGTTATGATATCAGTAACAATATTGAAAATTGAAATACACTTTTAGTTTTATGTTATAATAAATACACGTGTGTGTATTTATGTGATTAAAAGATTTGGAAATTAAAAAGAAATATACAAGTATAAATATAAAATAGGTTTGCAAATGTTAACTGAATTACACAAAATTAATTATACATTATCTATAATCACATAGATACTATAATTATTTGAACGCTTGTTAGTCACTAGGAATATAAACAAAAGGTTGATATTTTTATTATAATCTTGTGTTCTGTAACTTCAAAATTATTGATAAAATATGTGTTGAACCAACTTCGTAATTTAAATTCCTATGTAAATTCTCATATCCAGAACATCTTCTCGTCAAAAAGCATGATTTGCTTTTTTAACAATTACAATATACTTGAGCATTTAAATTAATGACAATAAAATAACTCTTCGTTCAATTTTTTCTTCAAATACAAAGCAACTATTTTTTCATTCAATTGTTTGTAAGTCGTATACGTTATAATATTACTATATTATATTTTAATTTCCAGAGTTAATATTTGCATATAGAGGTTACAAATATCAAATGTGTATAGCTGTTTATACGCCAGTCTATCAAGCAGACAATGTCCATGTAATTCCAAATAATATTAAGATATTGTAAAAATATTGCATTTATAAAAATTCAAAACATTTTGAAGAATATTATTAAATCCTATGAAAAAATAATAAAAAAAACTTTAATCAAAGTAGGTAAGTAGATACCACAATGCTTTAAATGAGATATCGATTAAGTCACTATTAAAGGTATGTTAAATTTTAATACATTCATTAAAATAATATATTATAATTTTTGGTAAAATTTGAAAATAAATAATAAGTAAAAAAATATATTATCTGTACATATCGTGTAATATTTACATCGAAATAATTTCTATAGAAATATTTTATTAAAAAAAAAATTTATAAATACCAAACAATTTAATTGCATTCAGTTAAAATTTGCAAATGTACCATTTCCGGATCCACTTAACTACTTTTATGAATAATTTTAATTTTATATATGAATAAATTAGATATATCCGGTAATGTTTAGATGTCACAAGTCAAGCTTGTCAACCCTTCATCATTCTTACTATTAACATTTGTTTAGTTAAACATTTTTACTCATTTTAATTTTATTTATAACTCAACGTACTATTTCATTGTATAAAAGACGTAGGTATCATCAAACAAAATGATCACTATGAAAGAGTTTGTTCTTATTACATTTTTTTCTTTATCAAATTCAGTTACCAACTTTATGCCCAACTTATCAGTGGTAAGTTCATAACCAGATTGTTTAATAAAATATATTCTACATTTTTTATGAGTACGATTATTAATTATAATTTATTTATTTTTTTATTGATGTGCATTTATAACTCTTAATTTAGGGAGAATATCTTCTGATAACCGAGAAAGTATATTCTTGCAATTCAGAAAATTTAATTCAATTTAATTTTTATGCTAGTAAAAAGACATCAAACATAACTGAAATGAAAGGAAATTAAACAGTATTATCACCTTTGGATGGCACTTATTTAGTAAGTAAATATTGAATTAAATGAGTGATATAATAGTTGAATTATTATCTAGGTACTTGGTTAGCTTTTAGTCCGAGTTTAAGTAAAAAATGTATTTTTATGAAATCAGCAAACAATTATATAATTATTGAGTAGAAATAACTACATAAAAAATGATTAAATTTTAATAAAACCATTAAGTTGTGATTAGAGTTTTTATGTCCTGATAAAAATTTTAATAGCTTTTGATTTCACATATTTGCTAAGTTTAAGTTTTTGACTTTATGACTGAAGCTAAAAAACATTTAGTTTCCACTTGAGTTGTAAATAAACTAATTGAATAATACCTAAAATAATGCTTGTGCTATTTTTAGCTTGATGTTAACGTGGCATCATGGAGTTCCATTGGAGGTTGGAAACCAAATTCATTGATTTTCATAAGAAATAAAGCATGTAGTTCTGCGAAATACTTCTTAGGAATATCGTGGAATTTAGTGATGGTTGCTTTAAAAGCTCCCAAAACTAGCTGTCCTATTCTACCGGTAACGTATAAAAACTATAAATTAAACAAATTTGATGAAATAGTAATCAGTAAATTAAAATTAACACAAGTATTATAATACAATATTTTCAATGATTTCTCGTTAAGTTTTCACAAAGACTATAGAGAAAAAATTTATTGAAGAAAATTTAAAAAACCAAAGAACAGTTTTGTATTGTACAATGTAAGACAGCACCAATTTTTATTTAAAGTTTTAACTAATTGCATTAATGTACAATTAAAGTTTGTTAATTTGGTTGCTAATAAAATATAAACTTCATTTTTATTACTACATACATTAATACAATATATCAAACAGTAAAATTATCTTAGATTATGTAAATTACAAAAAATAAAGAGAGAAAAATATATTAATATGCATTTTTAACGTGAAATCTGTACGCTATGTTGTAAGTGATAAGTGTATACACGAGTATTGAGTACTTATCTATACCTATACATTTATAAATTTATATTAATTTTTAAAATTTTAAATGTGTATGAGTTTAACAATATTATTTTTCAGTAATTATTTTCAAAATTTAAATACTTCAATAATTTAACAATTTTGATGAAATTACAACTCAATAGTTTACAAAATTAAATTAAATACTTATATGTACTTTCATCAATTATGTATTAGTTATAGTTACAGAACAGATTTATACGGAACAGCTAATCGAACGTTCTACATCAACCGTTTTAATTAAAGCATATTTGAAGTGTGTTATATATGAACCCGATAATTACAAATTTTAAGAAAAATGCCTGTCAATTATTATTTCATCGATTATTTTCAAATTATTTTATATTGAATTTTTATCTGTTACAGCTTGAATATGTTTTTTCTATTCATTTTTCTTTCGCTGTTTCAACATTGCTTACTATCATTTAATTATTATAATTTGTTTGTAATTAGAAGTAAAAATCTTGAAAATATTCCTAAAAATTGCTGTTTTTGCTTATGTACTGCAACATGTTTTGAAAATGTATTAATGATGAAATGATAAAATATTTAAAAATTACTGAAGAATGTGAAATTATGTAAACAAAAGTTGGGGTCATTTTAATAAGAGTGATAGAAATTTTGAAAATTTCTTATCAATTTTGAAATATCTTGTTAGTTGTTGTAATAATAATATGCATTTATTTAAAAATCCATTCCCTAGTAATAAAATATTTTTGAATGTTTCAGGGAACATATACAACTACAGGTTTTGATATGAACAAATTTGGAGATAATAACTTACCTAAGGTGTATTTTTACGGAAAATATAAGGCAACTATTAAGATAAAAACAATAAATGAAAAAGTTGTTAGTTTGTTTGTAATTAAAAGTAAATATCTTGAAAATATTCTGAAAAATAGCTGTTTTTGCTTAAGTACTGCAACATGTTTTGAAAACGTATGAATGATGAAATGATAAAATATTTAAAAATAACTGAAGAATGTGAAATTATGTAAACAAATGTTGGGGTCATTTTAATAGGAGTGATAGAAATCTTAAATATTTCTTATCAAGTTTTAAATATCTTGTTGTAATAAAAATATAGTTATAAAATATTTTTGAATGTTTCAGGGAACATATACAATTACTGGTTTTGATATGCAGAAATTTTAAGATAATAATTTTCCCAAGGTTTTTTTTTACGGAAAATATAAAATAACTACCAAGATAAAAACAATAAATGAAAAAGTAGTTGGTTGTGCTATCGCCGAATTGAGTGTTTTAAGACCGTGGGAAAAACCGATTTAATTCAATTTTACAAAATAATAATATGTTATGTCATTGTTATGATAAAATTATAATGTCTATTAGTATTTTAATATTGTGATCATTGTCTGATATCATAGATAAGTTAATATTTATCATAATATATTAAATGGATTTGGATTCATGTTTTTAGACGTTTTCAATAAAATTTATGATCATAAAATTAATAGTAAAATAGTTTAGTATTGGAAATACCGTGACTATGCAGCTAAGTTACAAACTACTATAATTGCTATTACACAAAAACCTATTCGATTATAAAGGTAAGCCATTTAGTATTTCCGATCTCTGTCATGGCTCAATTCCGCAGATATTTGAATTTAAATAAATTAAAAATGTCATAAAAAGAAAGACAGGTGAGACTAACGATACCCCAAGTTCTATATACCAAGATTCAATTTCACAAGTGGAAAATATTATAGCTTTTCAAATTTCAAAATTCTCAACTAAATCAATTGTAAAAAGGCAAAAATAAACAAATCACATTTCTTATCTTGATGATTTATCTGTTGAAACATTGAGTGAAATGAAATAAATTTTTAAATAAAACTGTTAAACGAAATGATGATTATATCATGATTTTCACAACTGTTAGAAATTGTAATTATTTAAAGAATTCACAATTTTAGACTTTAGACGGAACTTTTAAATCATGTCCTAAGCTTTTTAAACAATTTTATGTTGTGCATGGTTCAATTTCGCGAGATGGAAACGAAATGGTATTTCCATTAGTATTTGCATTAATTACTGGCAAAGATGAAAATTTATATAGTATAATATTTTCTGATCTAAATAAATTTGTTGAAGATTGTGAAATCTTTTTTCAAGATAATAATAATTTTATTTAGAAAAAATTATCGATTTCGAACAGGTAGTGATTAATACAACTTTATGCCTAACTTACTAGTGGTACATAATAATCAGATTGTTTTATAAAATATATTCTATATTTTCTATGAATACAATTATTAATTATAATTTATTTATTTTTCTATTGATATGCATCTATAACTCTTAATGTAGGGAGAATATCTTCTGATAACCGAGAAAGTATATTCTTGCAATTCAACAAATGTATTTCAATTTAATATATATGCTAATAAAAAGACATCAAACATAACTGAAATGAAAAGAAATATAACATTATTAATACCTTTGGACGATACTCTTACAGTAAATATATATTGAATAAAATTAGTTACATAATAGTTGAATACCTACCTAGGTACTTGCAGGTTAGTACTTAATTCAATTTTAAGAAAAAAAATGTATTTTTCCGAAATAAATAAATGATTGTAGAATTAATAGAAATTACTACCTAAAAAATTATTAAATTTCAATTCGAATTGTTTTCTTTGAATAAATAATTTACATTAACTCTATGATCATAAAGGTGTGATTTAAGTTTGTATACCCTTATGAGAAATAGTTTTGATTTTTGATTTCGCATATTTGCTAGGGTATAGATTTCAACTTTTTAAATAAAGTGAAAACATTTTTTTTCCATATGAATTGTAAATATTCTAATGGAATAATAATTAAAATAATGTATTATGTTTTTTATAGCTTGATATTAATATTGCATCGTGGGATTCAATTGGTGGTTGTAAACCAAATGCAATGTTTTATATAACAAAGAATGCATATAGTAGTATAAAATATGTCTTTTGGAAAGCATAGTATTTATTGATTGATACTTTTTAAGCTTTCAAAAGTAGCAAAATGTAGTACTATTAGAGTGCAATACTTCTTTAGTTATTATTTTAATAGTTATTCGTTGATAAAAAATTAACTTCACTTTTTAAACCATACACATTCATACGATATAAACTACCCTAACTTATCTAAATCATATAGGCTATAGAGAAGAAAGAAATCTTAATATGAATTTTAAACGTGTAATCTTTACACTATGTTGTAACCATATTTTGGTTCAAATTTAATAATGATATAATCTTTGATGGTAAGTGTATCTATGTGTATTGAGTACTAATATATTGATGAATTTTGATTGTTTTAGATTTTAAATTTGTATGAGCCTAATTATATTTATAGTATTTTCTTTTTAACAAAATTTCCTATTTATTTGATTACGTGTTATAATTTTTCTACCACCGATTCAAAATTTTTATGCTATCATCTAATTTTTATAATTTATTCATAATTCAAAATTTAAATCCAGATTATTTACTGATAAATGGCAGTTTTCAATACTAAAACATGGCTTGATAACGTATAAAGGATGAAATTATAAAATATGATTAAAAATACTTACAAATGAATTAATTATTTGTATAAATATGTAATCATACAAAAATATGTAAAAATATGTTAAATACTTTTAGCTTTTTAAAAGAGTTTTTTTTTTTTATTATTATTTGAAATATACAATCTATACTAAGAAACACAATAAGTACATGTAGTAGAGGGTAGAAATACATAAACATTATACATATTATACATTAATACATCTAAGAAAAAGATAATTAACATAAACATATTACATACTAACATGAAACACAAGATGTAAGAAGTCATCCATCAATGAAACTCACTAATGAGTAACTATTTTTTTTTTTAGTTTACTAAAATCAAATTTGTATGGTTGGGGGGAGGAAAGAGGGATCAAGAAAATTATGAAACCAACTTGAGGCGTCTAGGTAGATTGCCAGGAATGGTTAGTACTGTAAGATCACGTATTAATTAATTATTGTTGAAAGACAAACAGTTATGAAAGCTTTTATAATGTGCTTTTGCTTCTTCATGAACTGTTTTCAATTTTAAGTCAACATAGATAGTGATGTTATAGACGTAAAGTGAAGTATTGAGTAGTTTCCTGAGGGCTAAATTTTGGAAAGTTTGTATTTTATTTGAATTTGATGTTTTAGCATTACCCCATAACTGGATACCATATGTCCAGACTGGTTTGATTAGGTATTTGTAAACAAGTAGTTTTGTATTTAGGCTATCGTGTGTGTTATTATTAATGAATCATTTGAGCAAACGAAAACGAGAATTAAATTTTAGACGATTAGTTTTACTATGCAAAGCTTAAGTTAGCCTATGATCTAAGGTTAGACCAAGATATTTGACAGTTTGTGGTTTAAGAATTCGGGTTCCATAGATGGAGACAGCAAAGAAAGGTAAGAGTCCGAGGATAAAGGTAGTGTGCACAGATTTTGTTTGATTAATTTTTAACCTCCATTTTGTGTACCAGTCTTCCATGAAAGTTAGATGATTTTGCAGATATCTAGAAGCTGTAATGGGTTCTGAACTTATGGACATAATTACTTTGTCGTCAGCATAAATGTGCATATGTATTATTGCATTATTATTACATATGTAAAAATATGTAATATAAATTTGGATTCATTTTAAGAGTGATTTAAATTGTGAACGTTTCTTAACAAATTTAAATAAAATAAAAATTTGCATTGAAATATAAATCCGTCCCCAGTTATTAATATTTTATCTTTAGATGTTTCAGGGAGTATATAAAACAACAGGTATTGACATGAAGGAGTTTCAAAATCATAACTTCCCCAAGGTGTATTTTTACGGAAAATATAAACTGTCAATTAAGATAAAAGATATAAATAAAAAAGTACTTAGTTGCGGTGTATTAGAATTCAGTCTTGTAAGACCGTGGGAAAAACTGATTTGATTAAATTTTACGAAATAATCATACGTGTTGTTATTATAATAATAATTATAATGTTTGTTAATATTTTTATTATTGTTGTCATTATCTGGTACCATAGATGAATTACTAGTAAATACAGAATATTATGTATAGTTATATTTTACAGAATAAAATAAAAATCAATTTTTAAATATAAATTATGTTAAAATTATTGAAATAAATAAAATCTTCATCCTGCTAGCGAATCTTAAAAAGGTTCAATATGGGAAGTTCAAACGTCATGCATATTCTAACATATCCTCAATATTATTTTGATCAAAATTTGTCAGGATTGTCACAAGCAGGGTAAGTTCCATACAGAAAAGCTGTTGGAAGTTTGTTGTATCTAAGTTAAATCATAAGATCATGTATAGCATTTGCAGTAAATCTTATCAGCTGCTATTTAGAAAAGCCTCTGAATGTAATACACTGGAATGCTGTGAAACGTATTTTCAAATATTTAAAGAGTATATTCAATTATGGTTTAATTTATGATTCTAGTGTAAAGCTTTAATTACGTGGATACAGTGACGCAGACTATGTGGGAGACAACAATAAAGCGATCAACCTCAGGATCCATATCCATGATGAACAATGGATTTGTGGCATGGTGCTTACAAGACAAAAGTCAGTAACACTTTCTACCACCGAAGCAGAATACATAGAATACGTATATAGTCATGAGTCAATTGGTTGATGTTACTAACAAGCGATCTTCTGGAAACACAGGGAGATACACCTGTTCTATATGTAAACAACTAAAGCGCCATCAAATTTGTGAAACATTCTGAATTTCACAAGCGTATAAAAGACATCGATGTTCACTTTCAGTATATTCGCGAGTAGTTCAGTGAGGGGATTTTTTTACTGGAGTACGTGGTAAGTAAGAAACAGTTAGCTGATATTTTGACCAAAGCAATGCTAAGGCCAAGATTCCAGGAACTTAAACAAAAATTAGAGGTCAGACATATAGATACATAAAATATGTAAAAAAAAATGGGTGTATTGTTTAAGGGGAAATGTTGAAATAAATAAAAAAAACACTCGGTATGTTATATATGTGAGATTGCACACCCTATAATTAAGTATGGTTAATTATTTCTTTGTATTAAATGCTCACCAAACATATTTTGTTCAAAAGTAGTAGTAATACAAGTCTTTACATACATGTAAAATATATACGTCAGGCAGTCGAGTTACTGCCTGTTCTCGGTATACGTTTTTTGATTTAATATTATTGTACATTTTATATTACAAAAATACTTTATTCTTAATAACCTATTCCACTTAACAAAAAATTTTTACATTTAGGTTAAAATTATTGTGGTACATTAAATGAGAAAATTTATAATATCTACAATTATACTGACTTTCATTCAATTTATAGTTAATATACAAATAATTTTTCAATAAAACTAAGTTTTATTTACGTACTCAAAATGTAATAAGAACGTTGAATTTCTTTTTAACTTAGTTTCACCTCAATTTTTTTTCCTTTTATAAAGATAACGTTCCATTTTATTTGTCAATTTAAAAGAACTTAATGAAATCAGATTTAACTTACGCTTAACTTTCGGAATGGTGTGACTGGTTAGAATGAATATCTGCTGTACCATTTAAAGGATAAGTCTTTATATTTTTTTAATTTTATATATTAGTCCTAGTTAACCTAGTCACCCAATCATTGTAATTTAAATTACAAAGAATTTTAATACAGTGGTTCTCAAACCTTTTTTTTGAATACGGTGCACTTAATATTTCACATATATTTTGTGGAATGCGAGCAGTTTTTTATTTCGCGAAGAACCCTTGTTTTTAAGTCAATGTAATGTATTAAATGTTGACAATGAAAATTTAGTACTGGAAAATTGTATTTTTAATTATATTGATAAATACTTCAGGTCAATATGATGTATTGTGTATTGACATCAAAGATGTAGTATTGAAAAATTCTTATTTTTAGTAGTGTTGGTAAATACGCCTATTTTATGGTTGCAGTACACTTATAGCTAGTTCGCGACACATATTGTGTATCGTGTATGCTACGGAACAACAGCAAAGAACCACAATTCAGTACTATGATTTTATATAATTGCTTATAAAGAGGCAATATATACAAGGTGTTCATTTTATTTCACTTAAATCAATTACATATACAAAAAATAAAGGATTTTTTTTGTTTCTAATTTTCATAATTTCTTTACACTATTTAAAAGAAAATAATAACCTTATTTAACACGGCGTATTAGATAGGCAATTTAGTTGTATTTTTGCGTGCGACGGTTTTTTCATTTTAAAGTTAAAGACATAATCTGTTAAATCTACTTAGCAAATATAGTAAAAAAAAAATATTTATATTTTATAACTAACTAGCTAATAATGTAAAAAGTTAATATTGTTCTTATTTTTACCTCATCTTCAATCTAACATTATACGGTATTCTGTTACCTTAAAATTATTGATAAAAGATGTATTGCACCAATTCCGCAAAGTATAATCAGGTGTAAATTCTCATATCTAGAGCTTACCGATCACGCCACTATAAGCTAGTAGGTATTAACTAAACTAAGGTTACTAACACTTGCTGATATGCGTATTACTGCTAGTCAAGACTTCTTGAGAAAGTTTATGGATTGGTCCTGATTATCCTGATTTATTATGTGAACTTAATTTCAAAATTCCTAACTCTCATTCAAGATCTCTTATCTTTTCTTTATTCCGATTTTCACCACTAATTATTCATATAATAGATATATTTTTAAGATAATGTGTAATACAAATGAAAACTTCCACCTTTTTATAATTTGTTATATTAAATAATTATAAATGTATGTCTATGTTTCTACAAAAATTGTACTCTAGGCCTCATCCTGTTTTGAAAATAAATAAATAAATAAATATTGTCGTGTTATATTTTACCTTCTGTAGTATAAATATTTATTTCGAGGCTAAAAATCAAATTTGTGTAGCTGCTCATGCATGTCAATCTATCAAACAGACCATGTTCATATAATTCCAAATAATATGATGATATTGTAAAAATATTGAATTTATTAAAATTAGGGATTTAAATATTTTTTAGAATGTTGTAGAATACAACGGAAAAAAAATAAAAAAAAATTTTAAAAATCAATTAATAAAATCCTCAGTGCTCTACATAAGATATCAAGTAAGTCACTATTATAAGTATGTTAAATTTAATATTCAATTTTTTTATATTCAAAAATAACGATTCTGAACAACACAATCTATTATCCGACATATCCATAAGTATTGTTTTTTTTTTAACTAAAGTCATTAATGTTACTATTAGTATTTTTATCTAATAATATAGCTTTTATTATACCTATTATTAGTACGTAATTTTAATAATTTATACTTAGACCATATTATATCTCTTTTTTTTTTTATTGAACTTAAGCCCGGTGACTAGGGCCATTAGCTGTTGTAGGGGTTATGAACTATGGTAGGGGTAAGGTTGGTACAGTAGTTGTTTTTATACGATTGTTACAGTTGATAGTAAACGCGTGTATGTGTGGCAAGGTTTTTAACCACTATGAATCCGGATGGTCACCCATCCGGGAGCTAGCAGCTGTGGCCGTTACTTATTTCCAGTTGCATTCCACGACTGGTAGTAACCAATGCGCCACACCAAGCCACACTATATCTTTTCAAATAACATAAAATGTACATAACATTTTTCTGAAAATACCATAAAAATAGATTTATAGTACATTTCAATAAATAATATTTTAAAATAGATCAAAAATATTATAACGAGTTGTAAAATTCGCAATTATATAAAATATATAAAAGTTTTAGTTCCCATGAATAATGTTTCTAAATAATAATAAAAAAATTAAAATTTCATTATTTATCGTTTAAATTAAAATTTGTAAACAAGTTTGCATTGTTTTGTGATCTCGGCAGATTTCGTCAAAATTTTAACTTTAAATGCATAAAAAAAAAAAATTGTGTATATGTATTTTTAAATGTTTTTGTAGGATCTCATATTTAATTTTGACAAGCGAATAATATTTGATTTATATTTATATATATATATATATATATATATATATATGAAAAAAAAAATACTAAATCCGGTAAAACCAACTGAAAATTTCTCATGTCTATAAATAATTCAAAACAGATGAACTTGAAATGTTCATAAAAAATTTTTTAAGAACTTTAAACTACAAAATAATTTTATTAATTTTCATGATTTTTATGAAATATATTAAAATGTTAACTTTAAACACTTATAAAAAAAAATAGTGACTATAGCTTTTCGATATTTTTTAACTGAAAAATTAACAACATATGAGGAGTTAAAAAAATGATCATATCACAAGATTAATATAGGACTTTCTAAAAAAAAATGTATTCTTTTGAATATAAAAAAAATAACTATTTTATGTGAGATATTTTATTTTAAAATTTATAAGTTGTATTTTTATTTATAAATGAATGCAAAAATAAAATATTGGAAATACCTATCATTGTTAAAAAAAAAAATACACTTGGTATTTGGGAAACCTTATAATTATGCTTAGTAAATAATAATAAATATGAAAAATTACATACTGATATATCATACTATATTGTATATTGGTATAATTTATAATATCTATATTAACAATGAATTTATAAAGCATTATCTATACTCGATGTTATCAATAATAAGAAATAATAACAAGAAATAATTATTTCCTGTTTATTTAAAAAAAATTGTAAAAATAATTGCTTTTAATTTATGTGGATTTATTATGATAGAAATTATACGAATAATATGATATAGTGTCATAATACATTAAATATAATGTTTGACCTTTATTCAAAATAAAATAAAAACATTTTACAAGTTTTATTTAGTATCTAAAAGATAATTTTTATATACAAGAAATATAAAATTTAGTAATACACATACTATGCACTTAAACCCCATGGTCTATGCCCATATCGTATCATTTTTTTTTTTTTACCAAAAAAAAAATAAATACAATTGTATATAAGTGGGAAAATTAAAGTATTGAACCAAAACCTAGTCAAAAATTGTTTACAAATGATTTAATGAATGATTCGTTTAAGACATTGATAATATTAAAGTTTCTCTTATTAGTCTATTTTTAAACATTATTTTAGTAATTCTATATATATATATATAGAATTACTAAATATATAATACAATCTTTTCCTGAATACTTTTTTATCCGTTAAGATTGACAATTTTTTTCAAATATAACTCAGATATACAAAATTAATAAAAAGAAAGATGAGTACTTTATATTATATATTTAAGTAATAAAATTCAACATTTGAACGTATATTATGCAGTTATAAAACCATATCAGAATTATTCATTAATGAAGGAAATAATATTATTTGAGTACAAATGTTCAAATGTAAAACAGAAAAAAAATATTAAATCATAAAATTTAATTCTTACTGGATATAATAATTTTTTTATCATATTTTCTTTATTCTCAAGGGGTCAATAAAATAAATAGTTTATAAAAAAAATATAAATATAAACAATGATATTTGAGTATCTTATCAAAAATAATTTATACTTATTTGACTAATTAATACCTTTTTTTAATGTAGTTGAAAATATGTGAATTTAAAATTTTGGAATCTATTTTATTATTTTTGTCTGATTAATTATAATAACATTTCCGGAAATGTTGAGAAGCTATAGTTTAAGCATGTTTATCCTTATGCATGTAAATATATATTATATTTCATAATTGGTATTTATTCTGATTGTTGAATACCTATAAACTATTCAACCTATATTGAAATAAAATGACGTCAAAAAAATTATGGTAGTAACTTACTAATAAAAGCATTTTTTTTTTATTTTTTTTTCTCTAAGTCTAAAAAAAAAAGTTTTTATAAATTAATACTGTGTTTTATTTTATAAACAATAATAAAGATAAAGTATAGATAGTCTTGTTTTTATTACAGATAAATAAAATATTGATTCAATATTATAGGTACTTAATATTCCAGCATAAAACACCAATTTAATAATTCAATATAATATTTACTTTAGTGAAACGAATTAAGTATAACTGACTTTATGAAAAATTCATTATATTTGATAATTTTGGACGATGCATATACAGTAAAATTTATATTGAATAATATTAATCACATAATAGATTATACATATTTATTTAAGTAAGCAGTTAGTGCATAAAGTGGACGTAATTCATTCCTCTGAAATAATTAATTTCATGTAGAGTGATTTAGTAGAAATTACTACTTATCAAGTTATAAATTGAAAAAAATATATAAATTTCTATTTTTCACGGAATATATAATTTACTTAAATCAATATCAGTAGTCATTTTCTGGTGAACAAATAGTTATGCCTTCTTGTACATGATAAGACAGTTTTTAATTGTATGAACAAAGTGAAAACCTTTTATTTTTTACTTAAATTATTCATGTTCATTAATGAACCACTGATTAATGTTTGAAAAATGTCTGTTAACTTGTGCCAAATTTTTTTATATGATTTGCATATTAACATACTGAACAATAGAAGGGTAATAATCATAGTTACAATTTTTTTATACTGAATCCTGATCGAAAATTTAATAATTATTATAATTCATATTTAATTTTTATTATATAATAACCAATTAAAAGTAAATTGACTTATTTCAGTTAATGTATGGCCATTGCTATAAAAGTTCAAGGTAATATGTCATAATTATAATACACATATAATATATATATACATCGCAGAAAAATAATATTTCTTAATTGTAATAGAATTATAAATAACATACATTATAGTTGGAGAACCTTTGTATTGAAATTACATTACAATATTATAAATAGATATACTTTGAGGGGGTCAAAATAAAAAAATATTTAGTCATTTTTTTCACAATCAAGAAAAACAAAAATTTTTAAGCAAGTTTAATTTTTGATCAAATAGATTTTATTTGTTTGGTGCAACTCATAAACAAATTACTGTAGAAAATATACTTATTAATAAAGGGTGATAGACTATCTCTGGAATCGTTTTTTCTATACAATAATATATCATATATTTCAAATTAATTGCACTCATAATAGTAAATAGTGATCTATTCGACATTTATGTAATATACAGCATAACAGTACCCACTTATCTACCTTTTTACTAATAAATTGGTTTGTCATTGATTTTTTTCAGATAACTGATACATAAAAAACTAAAACTTTAGTAAAATGTTTTCATATTAAAAAAATTAAATCGGTTTAATTATTATCTGTGCCATAAACAATCTTTAAGATCGTTTTCTTTATTAGGTATGTTATAAATACATTCTTACGTGATACACATACTAGACGTTTTTTTATAACATTTTATGGAAGTAATCGATGAAACACATTGTACTAAATTAAATGTTTAATCGAAGTGATCATTAGACAAACCCTTATAAAGTATTTAACACTTAACAAAGTTAAATTTAACTCCTTCATCATTGTGATGTGTAAATATTGTGTTATTTTTCAGTAAAATTTATACTGGCCATTGCCCATTATTAAATCAAAATCGGTTTTTTAATTAATTTGTGTTGATTTATCAAAACCAATTGGACGTCCATGTCTCGATTTATAAAATCTGTCATTGTATTAATTATACCTTGTTTATAAATCATTATCTTAAATTTATATTTTATTTTCTTAGGGTTAGGACATATGTTATTGTTAATTATAAAATATTTTTATAAAAGAAAAAATCTATAAAAATTAAATATACAAACATTTATATACTTTCAATATATGTACATACAATGCATTCGTATGTATACATAAATTATATATAACATGTATTATTTTATTTTAAATTCATCGCAGAGAATTTTTTGACCTGGGCAAACAGTAGTAACTTCCATTCGTGTTGATACATACTTCATTTGGCATACACCGATTTGCCAATCTGCATTCGTTTATATCTGAGAAACAATGGAATTCAATAACACATTATTGTATAGTTAAAAAAAATAATGAATCATTACAAGTCAATGTGTTGCTACGTCGTAAAATTAAAAGAATTTATGAACTAATAGATAATTTTCGTCTACTAAAAAGTTGACATTTTTGGATCAAAGAAAAAGACACTTTCATTCAAAAAAGGAAATGATTGAATTGCACTTGGGTTTAATCTTATCGATTTCTGTTCAAGTATTTTACACTAATAATGTGCCATACTTAAACATATTTACTTGCTGAATACTGAAAACCATTGCGCTAAGTAATTATGGTATTTAAAAAGAAAACTGAGCTCGAATGTTTTGATGGAATCGCCCAACGTTGTAACCTACAATGTATGAGTGTATCCCGACTTATATATATATATATATATATATATATATATTATAATATGACTGAGTTTCTTACAACCGCTGTTTTAGCCAAACGATAGAAAACAACGCAATAATTAGTGACTAATGTTCACTAAAGATATTTTTTATTTTATATTTTTATGATTGATTTGAATTCGTTCATAATTAAAAATAGGTACTATCTATATTATATTAACAAATATTCCACGAGTATTCATGAGTATTATTCAAGAATCGTATAAAAATCAATAATATCCATGTAATTTTTTAATTCAGTGTAAACAAAAATAAAGTATCTAGATAAATTGAAAAGATGGCTGAATTATTCGTTTAAAATAGATGATTAATATTTAGATTTTTATCTAAATAAGATAATAAATAATATTTGATAATATTTTTATTTATAGATTCATTTTTTTTAGAAAAGTCTTGATACTGATTCGGATCAATCGATAAATATCGTAGTCTATAAGGGGGTTGTTAACCAAAATATGAAATAACTGAGTTTATAACTCATGAAGTCATTTAAGAAAAAAGGTCGTTAACTTTATGTATACATATACAATAAAGATAATTTAAATGCATTATGGTGTAGTTTTTAATGCAATTTGTTCAAATAAAATGTGCGCTTCTCTTTTTCCCACAAAAAAAAAAAAAAATAAAAAAATAAATAATAATATTATAATTATAATTATTACCCATGCACTTATTGTTTTGATCCATTTCATAACCACGAAGACATTTAGCGCTATTTCGATTGATCTGATTCGTATTGTTGTAATTTCTTTGAAGTACACGGCAATTCGGGCCCGCGCAACGTTTCTTATCACACCGAAACGAACCTTGAGTATTTCTGCAGATCCAGTCGGGACCTAAAACACCACAGGTATCCGTCTTCAGTGCACATTCGTCGTCATCTACAAACACAAAACATATTTTGAGCAAAGTTTTATTTATTAATATTATATATTAAACATTGTTACTTATTGATATCGACGTAAAAAATAATAAATCATATTCCATATTTCCAATGCACTGATCTTTATAATCGTGTTTTTTAATATAATTTTTAATTTTCTATAAAAAAAAGTTGAATCGTTTATGGTTAAAATTCACTATTACTCTATCTATAATATTATAATGACTAGGTAAATTAGGCCCGCAATAATAATATTATGATTTAAAAGTGGTAAATTGAGTCCTATACAAAAAAAAAAGTATTAGATAAGTGAATCTTTTTTCTACCTTCGATTATAATATGTACCTACTAAAATTATTATTATATTTATAACTAAGTCATATTATTAACTGTAAAGCACGATAAACTGATCTTAATCAGTTAATTAAATTTTTTATTTAACTATAATAATAAAAATTAATTTTTTATTTTATAATTAATAATTTATACTATTATAAAATATACCTATTATTGATTTGTCTTCTAATAAAGATAATTATATATTAAAAAAATAAATAATTCAAATTTTCTTGCCACTTGATTTACTTACAACTTTTTTTTTTGGAACTCAATTTATCTACTAATACAATTTAGTCTGCACTTTTCTGGCTAAAGATGAGTAAAACTCCACAATGAAGGTACTAAAAGGGTTAATTAGTTCGAAAATATTATTAAAAAATTCAATAATAATAAACATATTAAATACGAAAACGTCGAAAACATTGTGTAAAAACTATACGAAATAAAATTAAAAATCTAGTATTTGTTTAACCCTTTGAGTCCGGCTATGGGAAAAAATGAAAAAAGTAAAAATTTTTTTTGACAGAATTTTTTATTCTGGTCCAATTAAGGTATCCAATTTTTTTCAAAAATTTTTTTTTGACCCTCCCTCCTCTATTTTGACCGGGACTCATATGTCCCGCTAGCGCTCTGTGCATACCGATTTTGAATTCATATTTATAATTGTAAAATATGAAAAACATTTTAATTTTAATATTATAAAATAAAAATGAAGCATCAATAAATAAACCAATAGTTTAGAAAGTGATATTTTATTAAAATAATGTGTACTATGTACTTCAAATATAATTATTTTTTACTTATATCTATTTGGTGGTAATCAACAAAACAATTTTTTTTTTCATTGCAACATAAAAACACACGACAATGACTACAAGTTGAAGTTGGTCTAGACTCCACTCCTCTTATACTACACAGTTCACACCTTCCCCTTTTTGATCCGAAAGCTGGCCAATGAATACCTCTGAAAAATATATAAATCAAAAAATGTATACTATATAATACATAGTATAATATATTATGTTGTAATGTCATACCTATTACCCAATCTCACGTCTTTAACAATGGACATGGCTTTTTTCCTTCGGTTGCTAGGAGTATTCGGGGGAGTTCTTTTTAAGCATATTGACCTTTTGGAAGTTGGGTCACACTCAGACATAAGTCCGAGGGCGATTGAACGTCGAACTTCTAATACATCCATTTGTCCAAAAATTTGACAATACACAACGTATGCATTTACAAAAACTATGTCCAGAAGGCCCCAGAAAATTCGTAACCACCACTTCTTTGATTTTCGATCAACGCAATATAAAGCTCGCAGTCGGTCCGCGTGGTCTACTCCTCCCATGAACGCATTGTAGTCTTTTACCAATGTCGGACACGTAACATTTGATTTTGAGCCATCTTTTGAAGTTCGTTGCACAGTCGTGGTTTCATTACCATGATAGTTTGATGCCAAGTACACAACTTTATTATCTTTCCATTTAAATATGACGATTCCAGAAGTAGAAAATCTATGGTCGAAATCTCCACGCTTAATATCCGAATCTTTTTTTAGATTTTGTGGCATTCCTTTACGATTATTTCGTATAGTACCACAAGCCAATGTTTGTTCATTTTTTAATCTTTCCAAAAGTGTAATTGATGTAAAATAATTATCAAATATTATGATTCTTTGTTGTTTCCAAAAAGGTTTAGTCAACATAAGTACTACTCTTTCACCCAAATTATACTTATCGAACTCTTGTTCCAAAGTTTCATTTTTGCCTTGGTATACTGAATATTTCAAAATGTAACCGTTTTGGTCAGCAATGCACCATAATTTATAACCGCGTTTAATGGGCTTCATGGGATTATATTGTTTAATTGTGCTTCGACCCTTAAATTTTATCATTGATTCGTCAACGCTTAATTCACGAGTTCCATAATATGCTTCGGGAAAAATTGTATTTAGAGTATCAATCATAGGACGTAATTTATATAATTTATCTTTATTATTATTTGGTAAATTCGCATTGTCATTAACGTGAATATTTGACAATATTTCTCGAAATCGATCCCTAGACATGGCTTTGGAAATCGAACGTACATGTAAATCTTCACTAGTATTCCAATATAACTTATATGATGGTAATTTATTGTACCCCATGCAAAAATTTATTCCCAAAAAAGCATACAATTCTTTTTCAGTTAGCTTCAAATTTTTATCATTTTGTGTTGCATAAAGATTACTTTGGAAAATTATATTGTCGACAATAGGGTGAATAAATTTTAGAAAAATATCAGTAGCAGTTTTGCAACCAGCAAACATATTTTCATTATATAATAATTGTTGTACGTCATATTGGGGCAGTTCAGCAGTAATTACATCTTTTTTTTTCCACTGTCGATTTATTTCGATATTAGGTTCTATAATTTCAGGAATAACATCTCTTTCAACCGGTACATTTACAACAATAGGCATTTGAGAAGTTTGGGACCTCAAAGTTCTAGTATCTACTATAGACGAACCTGATGAAGCACTTTGATTTTGATTATTGCTTTCAGGAAAATCAAAAATAATAAAGTCGTCATTGTTAACTATTTCAGTTACTTCAGAAAGCTGTTCATTACGCAAAAAATGTTTATCAAGTTTTTTTACCTCATTTTGAGCTTCTTCGTTAGTCAAGATGTCATCCAAATCATATTCATCTTCAGAATCTTCACCGTCGGGTATATCCATTGCTAGCCATTCCTCAAGATCCGATACTTTTTTAGCACTCATTTTGATTAAAAAAAATTTAATTTACACACAAATTAATAAGACATAATAACATAAACTTGCGAAATAAAAAAAAGAACACCGAACACGAGACGATTACACAACTTTGATAACATGAACTGCGACAACGAGAACGAGCGACAGCAAGAGCGCACGACACACGTACGGACTGACGGCACATTTGAGTCCCGGTTCATAAATCTTAATTATTTTCGTAAATACTGATAATATGACGATCAAACACATTTTATTTCGTTTCTAAGAAGTATTGAAAAATAAACCCACGATTAGCATCGTCCGTAAACAGATTGTATGCGTGAAATATATATACAAAAATACCATTACTAGCAGATAAGAGTACGGTTTGGTTTTCCCAGCTATAATGTAAAATAACAATTCTAAGAATAAGTATATTTCACTTTTTTTTTTTTCAACGTGTATTAGACGGGACTCTGATGTCCCGCCAGGCCAGAATATATCAATAAATAAAGGCATTTATTTTATATTACCGATTAAAGTGCCCGGGACTCAAACGTCCCGATAGTACCGAAAGGGTTAAAGAAATAATTTATTAATAATTACATTAATCACTATAAATTAAACAAAATTGATGAAATAATAATCAGTGAATAAAATTGATATGAAATTCTATCATACAATTTTTTTCAAAGATTCCTAAATAAATTGTTAACGAAGTCTATATGATAACGAAATTGGATTGTAGACAATTTTAAAATCTATAGAACTGTTATGTAATGTAGTACTATTAGAGTGCAATACTTCTTTAGTTATTATTTTAATAGTTATTAAAGTTTAATTATATATGATAGTTATTCGTTGATAAAAAATTAACTTCACTTTTTAAACCATACACATTCATACGATATAAACTACCCTAACTTATTTAAATCATATAGACTATAGAGAAGAAAGAAATCTTAATATGAATTTTAAACGTGTAATCTGTACACTATGTTGTAACCATATTTCGGTTCAAATAATAATAATGATATAATATTTGATGGTAAGTGTATCCATGTGTATTGAGTACTAATATATTTATGAATTTTGATTGTTTTAGATTTTAAATTTGTATGAGCCTAATTATATTTTTATTATTTTCTTTTTAAGAAAATACATTAAAAAATACTTTAGTTTTCCGTATAGTTAGATAATTTTCCAGGTATCTAGAAGCTGTAATGGGTTCTGGACTTATGAACATAATTACTTTGTCGTCAGCATAAATGTCTATATGCATTTTTGCATCATTATTACATATGTAAAAATATGTAATATAAATTTGGATTCATTTTAAGAAGAGTGATTTAAATTGTGAACGTTTCTTAACAAATTTTAATAAAATAAAAATTTGCATTGAAATATAAATCCGTCCCCAGTTAGTAATATTTTATCTTTGGATGTTTCAGGGTGTATATACAAGAACAGGTATTGACATGAAGGAGTTTCAAAATCATAACTTCCCCTAGGTGTATTTTTACGGAAAATATAAAATGTCAATTAAAATAAAAGATATAAATAAAAAATTACTTGGTTGCGGTGTATTAGAATTCAGTCTTGTAAGACCGTGGGAAAAACCGATTTGATTAAATTTTACGAAATAATCATACGTGTTGTTATTATAATAATAATTATAATGTTTGTTAGTATTTTTATTATTGTTGTCATTATCTGGTACCATAGATGAATTACTAGTAAATACAGAATATTATGTATAGTTATATTTTACAGAATAAAATAAAAATCAATTTTCAAACATAAATTATGTTAAAATATTCAACATTTGAAAAATATGCACAGGATTTTTAAATTTGAAATCTTATGCTTCCAATTATACATATATACTTAATTTTTTACAAGGATTCAGCCTTTAAGTAGATATTTAAACAGTTCTACTGCTTTAAAAATTAATGACGTTTACGTAATAATAAAAAAACACACACACACACACACCACACATACGTTTTAAAATCAATGAATTTAACGCATCACTCTGAATTAAAAATAACAGTGAACACTTATTAATATATATATCATTAATTATTCTTTTTTGGACTTAGTATTTAGAATATAACAACTATAGCAACTTGACAATTTTAAATTTGCATTGTATTAATGCGATAATAGTAGGAAATCGTGTTTAATGTAAGATACACTTGAGTTCAATGAGCGTTATTATTATTTATTTTGTATTAATGTCTTTATTCAAAACAATATTTTGATATGAATTTATAATTTCATATAATAATTAAATACAGGTGTATGTTTAATAAATAATAACCATCCCGTTTGGTTTTTCATTAACTGACGGAAAATAGTATCATTCCCTTAAGTAAAAAAGCTTTACTATGGAAATCAAAAATTCATTTTAAGTTTTTCACAGAAATTATACACGACTAACAAGACAGACGGGAAGTAACTGAATAATATTACAACATTCACAACGTAGGTAGTGCGTAATACCATTGGTAGGTTATCTATACCAGGTATTATATTACAACAATCGAAATACGTCTTACTAATTCCAATATTTTGCTTGACGTTGATTGATCCTACTAAGCAATATTCTGCTAACCAACTATTTAATTGACCTTACTCAACTATTACTGTTAATGTAATTAATCAAAATCTGACCTATGCATGTAGCGGATTCCACGTCTAGCGTATACCCTGTTCCGCATCCAGTGAAACGGATACATTGAAATGAACCGGCTGTGTTGTCACATCGCTGAGATTCTTGACATGTGTGTAAGTTCAACTGACATTCGTTTATATCTATAACAGCGCAAATCAAATAATTATGGTATGTTATCTTAATATGAAAAAATATTTTATAATTGTATTGTAGTAACATACTAATACGATTAAATTAATTATTTTATTTTGTATTATATATACATTAATATACAATTGCATGATGTTATTGTACTTAGTAAAATCTGAAGACTATCATAATTTTATTCGAGCTTTTATACTAAAATTTTCTGTTTAAAATATAGGTACAAATCGTGTCAATAAAAGTTAATTGATCTATGACAAAAAAAAAAAATAATAATAATAATATTATTAACATGCTTATTACCAATTATTAAAGATTACAAATGAAATTATATATTTAAATAAAACTATAACTTTGTCAATGTTTATTTACACAAAGTGTACTATTATGATGTCAGGTATTTTTTATTGCAAAATATATTTAATTGACGAAAACATTTTTTTTTTACATTCAACAACGTTTCTATCAATTGCATCTCAAAGATCTTAACTAGCCAACATATAAAAGTTGAGTAATTTAGAACACATAATATAGAAACACATTTTTCTTCACATGAAATAAATCGATTTTTTAGTATCAAATTTATAAATAATTATTAATTTTTTTGAATAATTGTAATTTGAATATACATATATTGCAATTATTTGTATTAAAAATGTATAAAGATTATGATTTATAAACAAATTTTTAATTAGATTTAAATTTAATATAACTTAATTTTTACTTTCAATTTTTATTATAAAGTATTAAATAATAGATATATATTGTGGATCAACCAAATTTTATTATCTTGATCAAATCTAACTTTGTATGATAAATAAATCTTAATATTAATTATTGAGAAACTCTAACTTTACCTACTTTAACTTTCTGTAACACATACTTGTATATAGTACATACATAATTATAACAGTGGCATATTTCGTGGATGGTAAAAAAAAGTTTCAAGAGTCCTCCCTAACAAATACTTATTTTATTATATTATTATATTTTATATATTATTAAACTTAAAAAAAAAAAGTACTTTGGATGAAATTTAAAAAATAAAACTTATTAATTTAAACTTTACGTTAAGCACTTTGTTTTGTTATTTTTTTAAAATATTTCCTATTTTTTCAACATAAACAATAAAAAATTACCAATTATTTTAAAGGAAAAATATTATATTTATATTTACTATTTAAAACTTATAATATTGAATGTAGGTAAATAAAGTAATTTAACTCATGTAAATATACCTATTCCTATTAAATAATCTTTAAAACAAAAGTTTGATTGAGATCTATTTATATCATTTAGTAATGAATTTTAAAATTAATTCCTATTTATATATCCTAAAAAAATAATAACTTATTAAATAATTTAAAAACATTATTTAACTAATTAAATTTAAACGTATATTACAATATGTATATTATTAAAAGGGGTTACGTAGGTAAATTCAAAAATGAATTTGAGAATATCAATGATTGATTTTAATCAAATTATTATAATATCTGGTGAGTGGTGATAGGTAATACTCAAATTTTTTTAAAACAAAGTAAATACATTACCTGTGCACGCATTTGTTACTTTATCCAATTGATAACCACTTTTACAACGACATTTATAGCTTCCCGGTGAATTTATGCAGACTTCATTTATATCACAGGGTCGTTGAGAACATTCATCTATATCTATAAAAACAATTTGTATTAATCGTATAAGTATAATTTAAATAAAAATAGTGAACTATTAAATTCAAATACTTAGTGTCTTATTAAAAAGTAAATTTATCAATGTCATACAGATAGCAATTTTCTTTCAGGTTTTAATTTTTTTTCATACAAATTAGATTGTAAATAAGTGATATGTTTGGGACAATGTTCTCAATTTTACAATATTTTGGTTAAAATCCATTTGAGACTTTTTTAATTATTACGTATCGATACTTTTTAACTGTATTCTAAACTATTGTAGAAAAAACGTATTTAATCGAAATATATAAAACACACAAGATATATTACTTTGCATGATATCATTAGACTTTTTAATTAAATATCGGCGCATATTATGATTTTTTTTTTACAGCGAACACTCACTATTAGTAAATTTACAATCTTATATTTATTATTGATTTCAATATCAATTTATGGTTTTAAATTTGCAGTCTTTTTTTGTACACATATTTATATACATATTTCGTAGTTTCAAACATACTTTTCTAAAACGTTTTAGGTATAAATATGAAATAATTATTTAAATTTATTATTGAGCATTTAAAGTTAATATAAAACGAATAGTGAGCCACTCAACCATTGCAACTACTTTAGATTTCCTATATAGTCTATAATTTTTAGATAAAATTAATTTTAAAAATTACCTTTACATCTTTGTTCATACACATTATAAGCGAATCCAGGTTCACATATTTGTTTTTTATCATACATAATTAATTTTTCAGGAACCATTGACAACATTGATGGTTGTTGGTATGGTTGACATTCAAATCCATTTGGTGTGCTTATACATGTTTCACTGGACGTACAATTGTGTGTTCCATCAGTACAAGGATTTATGTCTGCGTATAAATAAATCGAATAAATACCCAACAAAATTAATAACATAATAATGAAATTATCTAAGTTTTTAAGTATAACAATATATATAAGACATACATATTAGATGTATATTGGAAATTATTTAACATGTTTATTTCAGATGAATGATATTAAAAGTTTCTATAAGTTGAAGATATTTAATCTGGTAGGTACGGAAAAATAAACATGATAAAAAGGTAGTTTTTAATGTTGAATCTGCTGAATGAATAGTTTGACATAGATATTTATGAGATTTCATGTCAATAATTTTAATTATACAGATGCATCTAATTCTTAGTTTATTGATTAATTTGAAAAGATTATGATTGAGTATAATGATATTACAGTTTTCATTTAGAAAATAGCTAGAAATTAATCCAACTATAATATTAACTTAACGTGATTACTTAAACTATATAAACTTTCTTCGAAAAATTATTAATTAAATTTGTGTCAGATGAACCAATGTTTAATATTATCAATAATAATGATTGCTACAGTTAAATTTGTATACGTAGGTACGAAGTATCACTGAAAAGCATATTATATTATAAGTTATCATATGATAAAAAATTAAAAAATATATATTAAAGTTAAAAAATTTGAACTTGAAAATAGCGTTTAGTTTTTAAGTTTGAAACAAGAAAATTTTAATAGGTACTTCGATCTGCAAACATTGATTAAATTATCATTCATTTATTCAGCAATTAATTGTTATTTTAATTTAAAATGAAGTTAAATGAAAAATATACAAATTTAACTGACCAGCAGCTGTCATATAGTATTTTTTAGTTTCGGTCGAAATTGATTTTACTTTTGTAGAAGCTACGCTACAGCATGATTGATACACTTCGCCCCATTGATGATCGTGAAATAATGGCGTTGATTGACATATCGTTTTCGTTGAACCAACAGCAAAACCGATTTTACATATTTCACAGCATATCTATTCATATTAAGTTAAAAAAAAAAAATTACAAACATAGTATAACGTTGTTAAAATAAAGACTTCAATATATTTTAATATCATATATTGAATGTAAAATGCAACACATAGTACTAATTAAAATGCAAGTATAATATACAAATGTCATAATATAAAAATATTATTTGTATGTTAGGTGAATAATACTACACACCTGCAGATTAGACTAACTATAGAATAACTGTACTAATTATTCAGAAAAAAAAATGTAATAAAATAATCAAGAAGTATACAAAAACATAATAGTGTGTATCGTCTAATAAGTCAATAGATGTTTTTAAGGATTTCTTCAAAGTAATAATTAATAAATGAATTAATGGTTTAAAAATGTATTTAATAGTCTGTTTTAACTAATTAGACTCTTCAAGTTTGTTTTTATAGTATTAATTTTCATGTAGAATACACCATACTGATTAGTTTATCTTTATTTAGTTTGATTTTTATTTATGAATTTAATCGAATAATGTTATGTTAACAAATAATATGAAAATAAATAAATAAATAAACATTTTTAAGCAAAATTTGCATAATTTACTAAGCATTGGGTTTTTATAAAAACGATAAACAGATGTAAATATTAAATAATTTTGTGTCAAGATTTTTCAAATAAAATTATTTATCAAATATTTAAATACTATCATATAAGAGTGTCAACAGCGAACGGCTTCTCTCCTTTTAGTAATTATATTTATTACTTATTTATACTCAAACTCATTTTATAATACAAAGTCTATTAATTATATTGTATAACATAAAAAAATATTAGATATAATTTTGACAACGGTCATATGAAATTTAAAATAATAAACATTTAATTTAATAATTTGTATTGAATAATACAGTATAGGTATTATTTTTTTTATAACTATAATTTATAATATTGTAATATACTTATACCAATGCAAGTAATTTATATACTGAAATATTATGAATTATTACAGATTTTCAATAACATTCATAAATCGTAATACATAAAAAGTTATGTTGTTGTGATTAGAATTTATGAATTCATTTAATATATTTAATATTTTTGATATAATACTTAACGCTTATTAAATTATTGAGTTCAATAATAAGTTAACTTGCATACTATTTTAATCTTGAAAATATATTTAGATATAATATTATAATTAATACATATATCACCCGTAGTAAACTATATATATTTTATATTATTGTTTTTTATTTTTTTTTTTATTATACAATCTGTAAATATATTATTTTTACAAATAAGTATAAGTGTTGTACAAGTAGAAATGGTATATAAAAAAATAAATAAATAAAAGGGATTGATGACTTGAGTGAAGAGTCCTCCAGCGATGGAACTTCTTGTAATATTTTATATTTAATTATTTATATTATATTGTATTAAACACGTGTTCTACTCATTAATCGCACAAAGTTATACAAAAGAAAAAAACTCCGTTATAACGTCATATTAATACAAAGTAGTAAAAAGTAATAATAATAGTAATTAATAAGTTGGTACCTTTATTTAAATAATAAAACTAATATTTATTTATAACAGCATAACGTGTATACGTACCATAAAATCAACTTGATTTTTTCCATTTTGTGTTTTTTCGCTACAAACTCCATTTTTTAGCCCAACTTGTTTTCCCTCGTTACATCGTATTTCTCTATAATTTATAATAATAAATTTCTAATTTTAAAATATAATGTATTTAATTTTTGATAAATTTATTGTTGTGTTTGGAATCATGTGGCTTTAGACTCTAAAATATGCGATGTATTATACTAATGTTTATTATTTAATCTGATTTCAAGCATCTAGGGTAATAAAGCTATAATTATTATTACGGATAAGTCTCAATTGTTTACAAAAATAAGCTTTAACCTGCAGCTAAAACACATTATTGTTTCTATTTTTTATTATTATAATTGAAATTTTAATGTAGTATTTATTTTTTGTCGTGTTATTAAAAAAAAAAACGATATTATATAGTGTATTTATGTTGATTGATAAAATTTAGGTGAGCTTAGATACAATTTAATGACTTATATAGGACTCCTAAATTATTTTTGCGTTTTACTTTGAAAGACTATTGTATTTTTAACTTTAAAATTAATTATTTAGCTTAATGTTTGTATGGTCAATAACATTGATGTGATGGACAATTAATAAATCTTCATTAACACCAGTAAATTGAACATTACAAAATTACACATCAAACATCGATAATAAATATTTTAGACGATTAAATAGCGAATTGATTGAAAAAATATTGGTTTTAAAAAATACTTTAGGTGTAGTAGCAATAAAAACCTCAATAGCAGTTTCAGAAAGCCTTATAATAAATCCAAAAATGAATTTTATTTAGATTTTTAATCCAAAAATGTTTGAAATTATTTTTGACAAAGATAAAGTTATAAAATGTGGTAGTGTATAAACGTGGTGAATAATGAATGAAATAGGTAATCTAAATTTACAAAATAACTGAATAATTATAATTGAAACACTAAAAAACACATTTAATAAATTTAATTAAAACTATACTTAAGCTTTTAAATGAACAAAAATATTTTGTATAATACAAATTACATATTAATAAGTATTAAAGTACATATTTTGGCAAGAAATAATCATAGTAAGAAACTTAGTTTGAATTTTAAAATTAACAAGATAGTAAACATTGCAGTAATGGTAATGAAGCTTTATTCCAAGAATCGTTTCTTACTTTTCTTGAGTTCTATTGATATATGCTGGTATCAATTGTTTTTTGTAGCACTTTTTTTTACATAGAATTTATTGTGTTTATAACTATTATAGCATCTAAAAATATTAATATAATATAATATACTAATTACTTAACCTTTATTTTTATTTAAAATTATTTTTGAATGATTACTTATAGAAATTTTATTTTACCTATAATATAATTAAATAAGTTGTGACCTAACCTACTCTGCATCTAATAGTGATTAATATAACTGTAATAATGTACTGGCTAACTGCTGTCACTGATAAAATTGACCAATGCCAAGCAACATTGCTAATATCAGTTATCAAAATATTTGATATTGACAATCATAACATAAAAATTATTGTGGTTTTTTCGATTTCAATGAATGTTACTGAAACATATCTTTTTTTAAAGTTTATAATAATTACTGGCGTAATTAGAATTTATAATGCTTTTAACAAGATAAAACTAATAAGTTCTAATTTTTATGAATTGTTATACACATATATTACTATAATTATATTAAGTTACAACAATAAAAAATAGTCAAAATAATAAATTAAATAGTGATTATTTTTTAATAGAATAATTTAAATATTTTTAATAAGATAGGCCCTTTTTATATTCTTGGGATCATAGTCTTTTGTCCATTGTACCACAAACTTCATACGTTTATGAACGTCATTGTGTATTTTTAAACCACAAATAATATTACACTTATTTATATATATCGAGTAGTTAACGTAAAATATAAATTTACTATATAAACTCTAATTTAAATTTTCAATATTCTCTGAAAATCGACGAACGGCAAAACTATTTAATTAAGGTTTAACTTAAATTTTACGAATACAAAATACATAAACAATGAACATATATAATAATAACGAAGCTATAACACAATGATCCACAATACTGTAATAAATATTCTATATTTTTTTTAATAAACAGTATACAGGGTTAAGTTTTATAGTTATTTTACAAACGAATAAATAGGTTTTAATTTGCTTTTAAAAGTAACGTAAACTTATTAGATAGTTAAAATTATGTAATAAATAAATACACTAATCGATTTTTTTTTGCTAGTATTAATACATAATTTAATATAAATAAATAAATATTTTTTTCTTCTTCACATTCAACAAACTATATTTTTTGATAGTCAACTATTCAAAATTAACACACATTAGTTGTACATTCAGAACTTATAGAATTATACGCCGACAGTATCGAAGGGAATGTAGAATTAGATGAAATCTAGTTTTCAACGATTTAGTCAGTGAATTTGGTTATATTTGAATTGTAATTATTTCCTCTACATACATATCCTCCACTTCTTCTGTAGAAAAAGTGACAAATCAAAAATTAAATACAGCCATTTTCTTATATCAAAATTAGGGTTATTATATACTTTGTTTGTAGTCCATAACTTTTAATATTCTTCCACCAAGCTTGTGATAAGTGAAATCTACATCCTACTAGAAGTATTAATGGCCAAATTTGTTAGCTGCAAATTGTATAGCTTATTAGAAATCGGCAACGACCTAACCTTCACTCAATTCTATTTTCTGATTTAGTGCCTAGATTTTCGAAAATTTAAATCATTGAGAACTAACAAACTAACAACGGTTAAACTTTTTTTTAAGAGCTTGATTAAAATAATCCATATTGTATTGTCAAACAACTCAAACTAATACTAAACAACAAGATATATATGTATTGGCTATCAATAATACGTGTTATCCTATATTATAGTACAGTTTATTGTGTACAATGAAATAATTAAGCTGATAAATATCTGACGTTAATGAAAACTTGTTTTTGTCTATCACTGAAATTTATACTTGTATGATAAAATGAGCTTAATAATAATAATAATGTTTCGAAAAATTCCCGGTACTGTTATAAAATATATTAAAACATTTATAACCAATCAATCAATCATTTAAAACGTTAAAAATTTTAGTGTGTAGACTGTAGACGGAATTAGATTGAACATCAATATTTTTATATCTGAAGGTAAGAAATTTTGAACACAAACGCAATTATAAATTGACCCTAAAATATAAAGAGGAAAATTGGTACACTGACACCAAATAAAAATTTTGTTTTAACCGCATACAATTGGAAAATATAAAAAGTGATAAATATACCATGTCAAGTTAAAATTTTAAAGATATTTTATAATTTATTTATATTATTATCAGTAAATAGTTATACGATGGATTAAACTTGTTATTTCTAAATACATTGTAGAAAAAAAATCGGATTTTTTATAACAAAATTATGTATTTATAAAATAAATTATCAAGTATAGCATATTATAGTATTATTATTACCAACCTATAAATATAAGTCAATAACGTCGTAGGCATCTAATACCTACATTTGAATGGTGTAAATAAGTGCCTACATTGTTTCGTAGAATAAAATATAAATATCATTAAAAGCTTAGTCCAAATATTCTGAAAATAGTATTGAGTACAGGAAATACTAATATTTTAATTCAAAGTTTTTGTGATCAATACATATACAATAAAAGAATTAAAATCGTTTGATTATAAATCGATAATTTACGTGTGAATACCCAATTTTGCCAAAATTTAAACTTACGTTCAATTGCTCTATTTTGTTATACCTTTTATAAGAAAAATGTATACGAAATTTTGTCTTAAATTTTTTAATCTTTAATATGAATCTTAAAAAATTTCGCGATTTTGATGAATTATGATAAAATATTGTCAGTAATATGTATTTTCCATATCTTTTAGTAAATATAACAATTTACGAAAAAATCTTTTATTAAATGTTTAAACATTTTTTTTTTTTTTTTTGTCTTAAAAGTTTTATCAAATTTAAATCAAAATAAAACTAAAAAAAGTCGTAAATTAAAAATTGAAAACTGGATTTTTTATTTTCCTATCAAACTTTTAGATAAATTAGATTCAATTTTCTATCAGAAAAAGCCTTTAAAATAGACCATTAGCTATGAAAAAATAGGAAAACACATAACATTATAAAATCAATTTATTAATTCCACTCAAAATATAAGATTCCAAAATTTAAGAATTTGAATAAATGCATAAAAATCGAATTAGACAACTGCAGGGACGTATTTATAGGGCGATACGCGTGAAACTACGTATTACTCTTAATAGCAGTTTTTATGTATTTTTGTTTATAATATTTTATAACAAATAATATTTTACCTAATTCTATTGGGAAATTTCTCGAACACATTTCAAAATCAATTAACTTTGTATTCGTAATGATTTTTGAAAAACATGCAAATTAATTTCCATCACCATATAATTATTATAATAGAATATAGATTCATTAATATAATGACAACATTTAATAACGAACTAAATAGACTAGAGTTAAATTGTTGAAATATTGTACGAGTACTACCATCTGTTGACTGTAATTGAATGGTTTTATTACACACTTTTATTTTGCGTGGAAATTGTTTTGTCGACAAATTTACACAAAACGTACAACAGTTTTCCAAACAAACATTTTTGCGACAAATTCCGCGAGAATAATAATAGCAATACACCTTATTGTACATTAATTATCTATTAAAGTTTAATAATAAAATAATTCAAAGGAAGAGGTTTTTGCTACAATAACTACATACCTCAACGATTGCAAACAACACGCCCCGACTGTGGTCAGACACATCGTATTGTGTTCGACGTTGACTTCGAACAAAGGAAACGACAGAGTGATATTGCAAGATTTTTTTTCCATGCTCCATGTTTTTCCTGTGTTGCAACAATGATTTAGCGTGCTTTCCAAGTCCCCTGTGTAGTAGAACACATTATCATTATTATTGCTCATTTTCCGTGATTGACAGATGTGGGGTGCACGAATTCAAATGCTATTAAATTATATAACTAAAAATGTATATGGAGCGATCCATATTTTTATTTAGCTAAACACTCATTTTATTTGAAGATCTTTATGTTAAAAAAAAAAAAAAAAAACTTAATTGATATAACGGTTTGATCCATTACTACTTTAAAGTTTTTATATAACACTGTTAAATAAGTACATTATTATAACAAAATAATAAATTGGTTAAATAAATTTTATTTTTCATTTTTATTTTAGTGGCTGTTTTAAGTTACGAACGCAGAGAAAAACAATATTTTATTATCGGAGGAAATGTTGACACTCTAAATAGGCTGTGTATAAAATATATCGAACAAATAGTTTGTTTTTATTAATATAAGTTAAAGTTCAAACAAGCAAAACATTGAATTAAATAATGGTGACAAAGGGTACCTAGTACCTACCCCGCTAAAGTATTTTATACCACTTATGGCACAAATAGCCAAAATTCTCAGGAGTAGCTTTCTAAGTATTTTTCTAAAGTATAATCATAATATTACTGTGCAAACAAATTTAAAAAAATTTCTTATATATAAATTTATATTAAGTATATTTTTGAGGAGGCTTATTAAGATTTTATAGTTCTAAAGCTTAAAAAGAGAGGCTCCAAGGCTAATATTATATACACAGAGTCTGCCATATAAATTTTAAATTTCATTATTAATCAAAAACAATTTGATTAACATACCATAGTCACACAAAATTATTAAAAAATGATTATGTTTACACGATTATGAAATAAAAACTTGATGATTATTTAGTAAAAATGTATTTTATTATAAAAAGAAAATTTATTTAAAATGGATAACTCCGTAGATACATTATATTATAAAATAGATACTTCCAATTGTATTGTATAAATGTATAATGTATGAGCACCATTGTAATAATAATATTATAGACAATAGATATCGTAAAAATTAATATTGGAAACACAATTACGTTTTAAATAATTTCAACATGACGTGATGACGTAAATCTTTGGGTGCCAATAAAGTATAGGTACAGAGTAAAAGTATATCGTAAAATACTTACTGGCCGAAAACGAGTACTCGACGAATAATGTAAAAACCAACCATGTCGTAGTAGTTTTCATTTCGTAACGTTTTAGGAATATTTCACTTTTTTCGAAGCGGTTGACGATCGCCGGTTATTCGATACTGTATTGTTTCGGACGGACGTCCGACGAAAATTGCTATCGGACGCTAAATGTACAGTAAGGACGGTGCGGCGACGCTGTTTCCAATAATAATATAATATAACAGTGCTTCAATGCGATAAATATAAATATGATGCGCGGTAAGACGACATTATATTATATTTATAAATGCGATGCGCAGTGATTCTGAGTATACATATATACGCAATGCGTGATAACGCAGTAAATTATAGTAAATTATATTATTGTTTATCTGCGCGACTATTGCATCGGACTAGAGTCTGTAAAATATATTATTATTATTAATATATGCGACGTATGTTATTTCAGTGTGCTGAATATCTGAATATAAGACGTACGGACGGATGTTGTGAGAAACAAAAAAAAAAAAAAAAATGTATCGATACATTTTTGTGCGTTACTGCAGTTAATGTGATCATTGTAAATATTTTGATTATCAATCAATAACTATTAAAGACGCGTCGTATGCTCCGTTCCACTTATAATCGAATGATCATGACGATTTATTTATTTACTTTTTTTATCAAAAGCCTGCAGGCGTCTAGAAAATATAATAATGTCTTTGAAAATAAAATAGTATTAAACAAATTAAAAATGCCATGTATTTTCTTAGATATTGCCTCGTAGGCATGCGTTAAAACAATCTTCCTGTATACATGCGATAGAGCGATGGATGATATATAATATCGGTGTTCAGTGTTCACCCACAATGCTGCCGCGATTCACGAATATAACCCGGAATGAATAAAATAACACTATATTACCTATTGTATTTTACCGAATTCCGTATTGTTACTATTCAATGCAACACAATGCAGAATATTCTCTTTGTTCTGCATGATAGATACTTTAGTCTAGTGCGCACACACGGTTTACATAACATAGATAAATTGATAATACATATTAGATGTATGCAAAGTTGAGTAAGTTAACTGGTTATTTGTTTGACTCGTTAAGTTTAAAGTAAACATACAACAAAAAATTGCGTTAAAACTTGAGTATTACTTTTAAAATTTCCAAGTTAAATATGAAAAATTAACTCGATTTGGTTTAAAATAAAGAATTTTTTTTTAACTAAATACTTACAACTTATATAGAAATGAGAAAATTTGATAAAAGTGATTACGCAAACACAAAAATGTACAATAAAAATAGTGACGAATAGGAGTAGTGTTATCGACGGAAAAAAATAACACAAATGGAGATGCCACAATATTTGTACGGCTGGTTCAATACTTATAATCTTGGGGTCGCGGATTTGAGCCCCACGTTGAGCGCCTCTTAGTCATACATACGCTGCGTCAGTTGCAATATAGGTATACACTCGAAAACACAATTAATATAAATTTCAAAAACCGTGTTCTCACCTACACACACTAGTACATATACATGTACAAGTATAGTAAAAAACACAGTCAAACACGCGCGCGCGCACGCACACACACACACACACACACACACACACACACAAGAAAAGCAAATGCCTTAAACACGATTTTATTTTAAATACAGACACATTAAACCAGCAAGAGCCAAGCCAGTCCTCGACGTTAAATGAATTCGGATCGACTTTCCAAACAACTTATGCTAATATTCAATCAATATTATACTTTTAATACTTATGGTCAACTAAACATTTTTGATTGACTTACTAATCTTATAGAAATTCGTTGAATATTAATTTAATAACAAAAAAAACTACAAGTTTTTGTCTCAGCTTATTTTATATAAACACTGAAAATAAATATATATACTATGAGTGTGTGTATTTGTGTTTATTTTAAACATTTAAATTATAGTCAATGTTATTCAAATAAACTATTCGTAAAGTTTGTCAATATATATGAGAAATGCCATCAATTGTTAGAATACTACAAATAGAAGTTATAAATTATCTATGTCAATAAGAGACTATGGAACCAATGTTGAGCTGGATTATCACTTATCTGGTACCTAGTATTATCATTAAAAAATTTGAAATGATTGTGTTTAATTAAAGTTTTGATTTCCTATATAGGAATTTAAAATTAAAATAGGTAAATTGTTTTCCTACTGCAATCCAAAAATAATGTATTCAACACTTCGATAGTTTAAAAAAATTTAGTATTTAAAATTTTAAAATATGACAAATAGCTAATGTTAAAATTTATAAATCTATAGATTAATTAAACGTTTTTGTTTTCATATATACAGAATATATTTTTTTATAAATTGTGGAGAATAATATATATTTTTAATTTATCAGCTGGTATAAACCTTCTTCGAATTAAATTATAAAACGGATTTCTACAAGGGGACCGCAATTTTATTATTCCTCAATGTACCTAAATAGTATTATTTCGGTCTAATCACTTGGTTGAATAGTAGGATTTAGAATAAACATATTTGATTTTGAAAACAAAATCTAAAATTGATACATTATCAGTTTTACCATATTTTAAACAAATTTATTTTCAATACTTGTTTGCTTCAATTAAACTAAACTAATGATGGTTGTAAAAACAAAAAACGGATTTTTTTACTATAACAGATTTTGAAATATTAAAAATAGCTATATAATAAACTTTATAATAAATCAAAATTAGCCTAACTCAAATATTATATTTTCCAAGTTTTATAGGGCAATATATCATTAAATTTATATTATATTTTTAGTAGCTTGTAAACGATACTATACGTATGAAAGTGCACCAGTTAAAAATAAATCATGCATTCTACAGACACAAGTGAAACAATTTCCAGTTTAGACTCGCACAATATACAACAATATTATGCTATTCATTTACTGGTTAATTATCACTTATCACACATTGAAAAGTTACTAAAATATCTAATATCAATCTGCCTGTATTTTTCATATCAATAAATAGACCGAAAAAACAAGCACATTATTGTTTTTTCTTAGAAATAAATTAAACTTATTCAATATGGCATAGAAGATATTATATGCCACATTTTATATTTAAACATAGACAGACAACCTAATCTAAACAATTTGAAGCTACAAAATTAAAAATCGGAAGTGCAGTTTTGTAATAGTGTGTATTGTATAAAATATAAATTTATTTATAATATTACGGACACTGAACAGTCACCGTCATTATCAAACGCAGACATCCTTTAAAAACTGATATTAGGTAACGACTAACGGAAATAGTTGTTATTAAATATGTATATAAATATAATTTGCAATATGTTTTATATAATAGTAAATAATATATGCAATGTGTGTTAAGGTCAAAGAATAAAATCGGTCAATGTGAACTTTATACTCAATCCATGTACTAAATAAACGATTGCTAAACTGCCTAGCATAAAAATATCATTTACATTACGTCCAAAAGTTATCTTGGACTAATGCAATGTACATGTTATGAATTTAATTAAACTTTATGAAACTGTTAATGTTATAATTAGTTTAAAATGTTTTTGAAATGAATTTTATCATAACAATAACAACAACAAACTGTGTTAAAATATTTAGATGCCAAAAATACTGTACTTTATAGTCTATCATGTATGGGCTGCGGTTGTAATAAGTAATAATGCGTTGGTGGTAATATAATTAATAACAGATGTGTACCACGCAGATAATTTTCAGTTTCCTATAGTAAAACTGATAAAAATATTAATATTATCATTAAACTGATCAAGTTTAATGAGAATACTGGCTGATATTTAAAACTAAGCAGTATTTTAAATTACGCATTTTATTACAAAAAAATCGCAACATTTTTATTTTCTAAAAAACATTAATTTTGATATTAATATTAAACAATGTGTATTATAAACAATATACAATAAACTAAACTTTACAATATTCAGAAAAACAATTTGATATAAAATCATATTTTTCGAAATTTGTACTGAGAGTGTATGACAATAATCTAAAATTTAAAATAATTTCCTTCCTAAATAAAATAAAATGTTATTTTATCGTAATATTTCTATTTGATTATCGTCTACTTGCTTACTACGAAAATCGTTAAATCATCGACTAAAATCTTTAAATAATACATCATTAATACAAAGGAAGATATTGATTTTTAGTGTAGGTATTTAAATTATTTAAGCAAATTTATTATATAAATAACATATATATAGACTGATTTAATATTAATATCCTACTAATTTGAAATTTTCACCAAATTTAATTACTTTAAAACTTTCCAAGCATAAGAATAATTATTTTGAAAACGTTTTGGCTCTTATGGAGATATTTATAATTGGATAATACATAAAATGTTTGACTTGACTTAGATTTTGTATGATAAATTATTTATGACTAGATTTTAAGCTCGAAAATTCAATACAAACTCCCTCGTAAGTTTTTAATACTAGAAAAAGTTCAGCGTAAAGGCATATACTTATTTTATGAGTAGTTGTAATTCAATTTGTGACGATTGGATATTCTCTAATGATTTTTTTTTTTTTTTGTTTTGTTATTATTTAAAAAAAATACAATTAAACAAACCTAAAAATAAGAATAACAGTAAAAACTATTACTTGAAGTATCATTTTCCATTTATGCAATTATGTATTATTTTCAAAATATTTAAACTAATGTTGAGCTATTTATAAGCATTACAAATTTGTTTTGGTATTTTTTGTGTGCTGAGAAAAATATTTAGTCTTGATCAAAAATCTTCTAAATTAAATATAAGATGTCACGAGTTATCGAAATTAAAAAAAATCACTAATGTGATTTGTAGTTCTAAGTAATATATTAATATTTAAAGTTTAATTTTCGATAAAAATGGATATTTAAACAAAAAATAACGATATTAAAATAATTTAGTACTCTTATCCAAGTTAAAAGTTAGTTAATAGCTTAGTTAATGGTTTTAACTAAATAAAAAAAAATATATATGTTTATGTTAAGTACTTTTTGTTTTATAAAAACACATTTTACCGTTACTGAGAATTAGTTTTAGTCAGTATCACAGAAATGAAATATGTTAAAAAAACTATAAAATTGAAATTTAGGTTTGTTGATAATATTAAGCAATAAAAAAAGCCAATGGCACACGTAGTGTTCCCAAGCGGTCACCCATCCAAGTACTTACTACGTCCGA